GGTGCAGGGGGCTCAGGGAGTGGGGGGGTGCGGTGTGGGGGTGCAGGGGGCAGTGGGCAGGCTGTAGTGGGAAGGCTCAGGGAGTGGGGGGTGCGGTGTGGGGGTGCAGGGGCTCAGGGAGTGGGGGGTGCGGTGTGGGGGTGCAGGGGGCAGTGGGCAGGCTGTAGTGGGAAGGCTCAGGGAATTGGGGTGCGTGTGGGGGTGCAGGGGGCTCAGGGAGTGGGGGGTGCGGTGTGGGGGTGCAGGGGGGCAGTGGGCAGGCTGTAGTGGGAAGGCTCAGGGAGTGGGGGGTGCGGTGTGGGGGTGCAGGGGGCTCAGGGAGTGGGGGGTGCGGTGTGGGGGTGCAGGGGGGCAGTGGGCAGGCTGTAGTGGGAAGGCTCAGGGAGTGGGGGTGCGGTGTGGGGGTGCAGGGGGCTCAGGGTGTGGGGGGTGCGGTGTGGGGGTGCAGGGGGGCAGTGGGCAGGCTGTAGTGGGAAGGCTCAGGGAATTGGGGTGCGGTGTGGGGGTGCAGGGGGCTCAGGGAGTGGGGGGTGCGGTGTGGGGGTGCAGGGGGGCAGGGGCAGGCTGTAGTGGGAAGGCTCAGGGAATTGGGGTGCGGTGTGGGGGTGCAGGGGGCTCAGGGAGTGGGGGGTGCGGTGTGGGGGTGCAGGGGGGCAGTGGCAGGCTGTAGTGGGAAGGCTCAGGGAGTGGGGGTGCGGTGTGGGGGTGCAGGGGGCTCAGGGAGTGGGGGGTGCGGTGTGGGGGTGCAGGGGGCAGTGGGCAGGCTGTAGTGGGAAGGCTCAGGGAGTGGGGGTGCGGTGTGGGGGTGTAGGGGGCTCAGGGAGTGGGGGTGCGGTGTGGGGGTGCAGGGGGCAGTGGGCAGGCTGTAGTGGGAAGGCTCAGGGAGTGGGGGTGCGGTGTGGGGGTGCAGGGGGCTCAGGGAGTGGGGGGGTGCGGTGTGGGGGTGCAGGGGGGCAGTGGGCAGGCTGTAGTGGGAAGGCTCAGGGAATTGGGGTGCGGTGTGGGGGTGCAGGGGGCTCAGGGAGTGGGGGGTGCGGTGTGGGGGTGCAGGGGGGCAGTGGGCAGGCTGTAGTGGGAAGGCTCAGGGAGTGGGGGTGCGGTGTCGGGGGTGCAGGGGGCTCAGGGAGTGGGGGGTGCGGTGTGGGGGTGCAGGGGGGCAGTGGGCAGGCTGTAGTGGGAAGGCTCAGGGAGTGGGGGTGCGGTGTGGGGGTGCAGGGGGCTCAGGGTGTGGGGGGTGCGGTGTGGGGGTGCAGGGGGCAGTGGGCAGGCTGTAGTGGGAAGGCTCAGGGAATTGGGGTGCGGTGTGGGGGTGCAGGGGGCTCAGGGAGTGGGGGGTGCGGTGTGGGGGTGCAGGGGGCAGTGGGCAGGCTGTAGTGGGAAGGCTCAGGGAATTGGGGTGCGGTGTGGGGGTGCAGGGGGCTCAGGGAGTGGGGGGTGCGGTGTGGGGGTGCAGGGGGCAGTGGGCAGGCTGTAGTGGGAAGGCTCAGGGAGTGGGGGGTGCGGTGTGGGGGTGCAGGGGGCTCAGGGAGTGGGGGGTGCGGTGTGGGGGTGCAGGGGGCAGTGGCAGGCTGTAGTGGGAAGGCTCAGGGAGTGGGGGTGCGGTGTGGGGGTGTAGGGGGCTCAGGGAGTGGGGGGTGCGGTGTGGGGGTGCAGGGGGCAGTGGGCAGGCTGTAGTGGGAAGGCTCAGGGAGTGGGGGTGCGGTGTGGGGGTGCAGGGGGCTCAGGGAGTGGGGCGGTGCGGTGTGGGGGTGCAGGGGGCAGTGGGCAGGCTGTAGTGGGAAGGCTCAGGGAATTGGGGTGCGGTGTGGGGGTGCAGGGGGCTCAGGGAGTGGGGGGTGCGGTGTGGGGGTGCAGGGGGGCAGTGGGCAGGCTGTAGTGGGAAGGCTCAGGGAGTGGGGGTGCGGTGTGGGGGTGCAGGGGGCTCAGGGAGTGGGGGGGGGGTGTGGGGGTGCAGGGGGCAGGCTGTAGTGGGGGGGCTCAGTGGGGGGGGGGCTGGGGGTGCAGGGGGGCAGTGGGCAGGCTGTAGTGGGGGGCTCAGGGAGTGGGGGGGTGCGGTGTGGGGGTGCAGGGGGCTCAGGGTGTGGGGGTGCGGTGTGGGGGTGCAGGGGGCTCAGGGTGTGGGGGTGCGGTGTGGGGGTGCAGGGGGCTCAGGGTGTGGGGGTGCGGTGTGGGGGTGCAGGGGGCTCAGGGAGTGGGGGTGCGGTGTGGGGGTGCAGGGGGCTCAGGGTGTGGGGGTGCGGTGTGGGGGTGCAGGGGGCTCAGGGAGTGGGGGTGCGGTGGGGGGTGCAGGGGGCTCAGGGAGTGGGGGTGCGGTGTGGGGGTGCAGGGGGCTCAGGGAGTGGGGGGGTGCGGTGTGGGGGTGCAGGGGGCGGTGGGCAGGCTGTAGTGGGGGGCTCAGGGTGTGGGGGTGCGGTGTGGGGGTGCAGGGGGCTCAGTGGGGGGGGCTGGGGGTGCGTGTAGGGGTGCAGGGGCTCAGGGAGTGGGGGGTGCGGTGTGGGGGTGCAGGGGGGCAGTGGGCAGGCTGTAGTGGGAAGGCTCAGGGAATTGGGGTGCGGTGTGGGGGGTGCAGGGGGCTCAGGGAGTGGGGGGGTGCGGTGTGGGGGTGCAGGGGGCGGTGGGCAGGCTGTAGTGGGGGGCTCAGGGAGTGGGGGGTGCGGTGTGGGCGTGCAGGGGGCTCAGTGGGGGCGGGCTGGGGGTGGGGTGGGGGTGCAGGGGCTCAGGGAGTGGGGGGTGCGGTGTGGGGGTGCAGGGGGCAGTGGGCAGGCTGTAGTGGGAAGGCTCAGGGAATTGGGGTGCGGTGTGGGGGTGCAGGGGGCTCAGGGAGTGGGGGGGTGCGGTGTGGGGGTGCAGGGGGGCAGTGGGCAGGCTGTAGTGGGAAGGCTCAGGGAGTGGGGGGTGCGGTGTGGGGGTGCAGGGGGCTCAGGGTGTGGGGGTGCGGTGTGGGGGTGCAGGGGGGCTCAGGGAGTGGGGGTGCGGTGTGGGGGTGCAGGGGCTCAGGGAGTGGGGGGTGCGGTGTGGGGGTGCAGGGGGCAGTGGGCAGGCTGTAGTGGGGGGCTCAGGGAGTGGGGGTGCGGTGTGGGGGTGCAGGGGGCTCAGTGGGGGGGGGCTGGGGGTGCGGTGTGGCGGTGCAGGGGGCTCAGGGAGTGGGGGTGCGGTGTGGGGGTGCAGGGGGGCTCAGGGAGTGGGGGTGCGGTGTGGGGGTGCAGGGGGCTCAGGGAGTGGGGGTGCGGTGTGGGGGTGCAGGGGGCTCAGGGTGTGGGGGTGCGGTGTGGGGGTGCAGGGGGCTCAGGGAGTGGGGGTGCGGTGTGGGGGTGCAGGGGGCGGTGGGCAGGCTGTAGTGGGGGGCTCAGGGAGTGGGGGTGCGGTGTGGGGGTGCAGGGGGCTCAGGGGGGGGGCTGGGGGTGCGGTGTGGGGGTGCAGGGGGCTCAGTGGGGGCGGGCTGGGGGGCAGGGGGCGGTGGGCAGGCTGTAGTGGGAAGGCTCAGGGAGTGGGGGGTGCAGTGTGGGGGTGCAGGGGGCGGGCTGGGGGTGCAGGGGGCAGGGGGGGGGCAGGCTGTAGTGGGGGGCTCAGGGGGGGCGGGCTGGTAGTGCAGTGGGCAGGCTGTAGTGGGAAGGCTCAGGGTGTGGGGGGTGCGTTGTGGGGGTGCAGGGGGCTCAGTGGGGGGCTGGGGGTGCGGTGTGGGGGTGCAGGGGGCTCAGGGAGTGGGGGTGCGGTGTGGGGGTGCAGGGGGCTCAGGGAGTGGGGGGTGCGGTGGGGGGTGCAGGGGGGCGGTGGGCAGGCTGTAGTGGGGGGCTCAGGGAGTGGGGGTGCGGTGTGGGGGTGCAGGGGGCTCAGTGGGGGGCGGGCTGGGGTGCGGTGTGGCGGTGCAGGGGGCTCAGGGAGTGGGGGTGCGGTGTGGGGGTGCAGGGGGCTCAGGGAGTGGGGGTGCGGTGTGGGGGTGCAGGGGGCTCAGGGTGTGGGGGTGCGGTGTGGGGGTGCAGGGGGCTCAGGGAGTGGGGGTGCGGTGTGGGGGTGCAGGGCTCAGGGAGTGGGGGTGCGGTGTGGGGGTGCAGGGGGCTCAGGGAGTGGGGGTGCGGTGTGGGGGTGCAGGGGGCGGTGGGCAGGCTGTAGTGGGAGGGCTCAGGGAGTGGGGGTGCGGTGTGGGGGTGCAGGGGGCTCAGTGGGGGGGCGGGCTGGGGGTGCGGTGTGGGGGTGCAGGGGGCTCAGTGGGGGGCGGGCTGGGGGGGCAGGGGGCGGTGGGCAGGCTGTAGTGGGAAGGCTCAGGGAGTGGGGGGTGCAGTGTGGGGGTGCAGGGGGCGGGGTGGGGGTGCAGGGGGCAGGGGGGCAGGGGGCAGGCTGTAGTGGGGGGCTCAGTGGGGGGGCGGGCTGGTAGTGCAGTGGGCAGGCTGTAGTGGGAAGGCTCAGGGTGTGGGGGGTGCGTTGTGGGGGGTGCAGGGGGCTCAGTGGGGGGCGGGCTGGGGGTGCGGTGTGGGGGTGCAGGGGGCTCAGGGTGTGGGGGTGTAGTGGGAAGGCTCAGGGAGTGGGGGTGCGGTGTGGGGGTGCAGGGGGCTCAGGGAGTGGGGGGTGCGGTGTGGGGGTGCAGGGGGGCTCAGTGGGGGGGCGGGCTGGGGGTGCGGTGTGGGGGTGCAGGGGGGCTCAGTGGGGGCGCAGGGGGCGGGGCGTGGCAGCGGAGAGGAGTCGGGGGAATGTGGGGGCGCAGGGGGCCCCCACTCCGCAGGGCGGGGCACCGAGCCACGAGCCCCACACTCGGACGGGGCCCAGCTGTCGCCGGGGCCCGTTGCGGGGGCGATGCCCTCCGGCCGGGATTGGCTGCGTGCAGCGCATGCGCAGAGAGCCCGCCCGTGCCGCTGTGGTATTGCCCATTCCTCCTGGAGAAGGCCCCGGCGCTGCGCGAGGGCCCTTTCGCGCTGAGCATTTTTTTTCCTTCTTCCCTTTCCGTAGCCGCCGTAACGTGCTGGGAGCCTCGTGCGGCGGGAGGGGCCGAGCGAGAGGGGGCGGGGCTGTCGATCGTGGGCAGGGGCACGCGCCGACGCCGATTGCGCTCGCGCTCCGCGGGGAGCGGCCCCCAGCGCCTCTGTCCGCGCGCACAGGCGTCCGGCCCGCGCCATGCTGGGCCTCCGAGCCCTGCTCCTGCGGGGCGTGCGCCGGGCCCGGGCCTGCCCCCAGGTAACGGCCGGGCGGGGCCCCCCTCGCGAGGGGCGGAGGAGGGCGAAGGGAGGGGGCGTGGCGTCATGGGGGCGCGGGGGAGGGAGGGGTATAGGGTAGGGGTGTGTCAGTCATAGGGGGTGGGGGGGTGGGGGCAGTGTAGGGGCGGCTGGGGCATGGGGGGGGGGGTGGCGTAGGGGGGCATGGAGCTGGGGGGGGGGGGGGGGGGGGGGGGGGGGGGGGGGGTTGGGGGGGGAGGGACTTGGTGGTATGGGAGGGGGAGGCAGTAAAGGGGCATGGAGCTGGGTGGGGGAGGGATTTGGTGGTATGGGGGCGCTGGGGCATGGGAGGGGGAGGCAGTAAAGGGGCATGGAGCTGGGTGGGGGAGGGGCATGGCAGTTAGGGGAAGCGGCTGGGGGCATCAGGGGTGAGGCTGTATAGAGGCATGGAGAGGGGTGGTGGCATGGCACTATGGGGGCCTGGGCAAGAGATGGGAGGGAACCCCTGGGGGCATGAAGGGGGAGCAAGAGGGAGCGGGGAGTTGTCGGTGCTGCCCCTGCAGGTGGCTGGAGACCATGTGGCTGCTGCGCAGTGCAGGCAGTAAGGAGGAGTCACTGTCCTGGTCCTTAGTGACTCATGAAACCAACCCTGTGTGAGCGCTGCACAGCCCCTCTTACTTGTCTGTGAACATACAGAAAGGGTTAGCCTGTTTCTGCTCTCACTCCCTGCAGTAACTTACATGTGCTAGGTGCATTTTCACTGTTTCGCTCCAATGATTTCCATGAATAGAAACTTGGTCTCTCTGTCAAAAAAGAAAGAAAAAAAAAATCTCTGTTCTAAAGCAAGCACAGATTCAAACTCAAAGAGTGGCAATGGCAGCCACATTGTGGGTTTTACACCTTCACTTTGAAGATAACTTCAGCTTCTCCTCGGTCCATACAGCCTGGTAACACAGTGGCAAGCTTTCACTTCTTGAAATGTCAGTATCCCAAGGTTCCCTCTCATTCTGACTTGCACCAAACAGGCTCTGGCTTTTGATATTCAAGGTGTTCCCACAATATTGTTGGGACTGATACATCATTGCAACACGATACTGTAACATCACATTGTAGCAATGCAGTGACCGCCTCTAAAGACATTGTTCTTAAATTGGAAACTCTGAACAACTGCCCTCTGCACACAGAAGTTGATCCAGGTTGGTGCTGCACTTACTAGTGCTTTTTAGGCCTTGTCTACATTGCAAAATATAATGGTGCGTAAACATTTGAGTTGGATGACGCAATACTAGCCATGACTTGGAGGTAAGTGTAAGCTGCAATAAACTCTGGTCGGCATAATGTCATCCACTTGACTGCTCACAATCATGTTCTCAACCAACCACATTTTGTTATGGAGCTGAGCCCTTGGAGTCCTCCAGGGACCTGGGGCAGCTTCTTGTGGAAAGGGGAAAGATGAAGCAACAGTGACTGGTGTCTTATGGAACGAGTCAATTATACAAACTTTAATCCTTGAAATGCATGTCAGAACAATCTCTGAACATGTGCTGTTGGCACTCATGAAGGATACGAAGGGCAGAAACTGTGACCTTGACACTGATTCACCATTTGCCTCTATGGTTCTCTGAATCTTTTTTGTCCTTTTGAAGCTTGACATTGAGTGGGTAAATGATAACACATTGCACAATTGTGGTTACTCAGAATATGTGCAGGTTTAAAATTTTTGTGACAATCTTCTTGCATTAAGAAACAATGAACCTGAAAGGAATCCAGGGATATCTCCATCAAGGCTAAAGTTAGGATACCCCAAAATTTATTTAAATGGCTATCTATACCATATGTAGTGCACTTTAAGGTATTTGTGTAGCAGGGGTTCCCGCGGAGTGATGTATTTAAGAAAGTTCTTCATCACACAGCACATTGTCAACCTATGGAACTTGTTACCAAGGGATGTTGTGAAGGCTAAAATGATAACTGAGTTTGAAAAAGATAATTTAATGCCAAGGTGCTCAACCCAATGCTCTGGGTGTCCCTTAACCTTTGACTGCCAGAAGCTGAGACTAGACGACAGGGGATGGATCACTCGATAATAGCCCTGTTCATTCCCTCTGAAGCATCTGGCACTGACCACAATCAGAGGACAGGATACTAGGCTAAATGGACCATTGGTCTGACCCAGTATAACTATTCTTATGTTTGGAGTAGAGAGGTGACTGCGGCTATGGGCTGGATCTGTGGGAGCTGCTGTGGCATCTCTCAGATGTTCCCAGTACATTATGTGTTGGTTCTGCTCTTGCTTTGGTAGCAACATCAGCCTGGCCTCAGAATGCTCCTGTTTAGTCATTATTTTTGATATCCTGCCAAAAACTTCCTGAGGAGAGGAAATGAGAGAAGGGAACTGCTGATTTTTAACAGTTAATATCTCGGCAAAAACTGATCAGAATTTCATTGGAAAAAGAAAAGGTACCTCAATGGCCTGAGGGCTATCCCTTGCCAAGTATTAAAGGCCTACTGCAAACAATGGAGGTGAGAGAGCTGCTCAAAAGGTGTCAGGAATCCTTTACAGTGGAAAGTATTAAGCAGGCTAAATTATAGGCATTGCTACCAGCTTCTATCTAGAAATGAGATGCACTGAAATCTAGAATGAACTGGCAGATTGTTTTATGTCTCCAGTAGTAACGTTAGTTATTTTTTAAACATTCTCTGTTCAGGTCCGCGCATCTTTGGCTACAGGGCCCAGGCAAAGTGATGGCACGTTTTATGAAATTCGTACCTATGATGTTAAGCCATCAAAGATGAAGGAGTTTGTGGAAATGTTCAATAAACACATCCACCTGCGCACAGCTCATTCAGAGATGGTTGGAATCTGGACTGCGGAGTTTGGGGGCATGAATAAGGCCATCCATATTTGGAAGTTTGGTATGCGCAGCATCACTTCATATTGCTCTTGTGTGTCATGTGTTTTAGACAGATGAAACAGGATGTTTGTCTTGGGCTCTTATAAATGAATGATTAGAGAATAGCTCCTATACTGACAACTGAAAACAAATACAGTAGAGCCTCAGAGTTTCGAACACCTCGAATGGAGGTTGTTTGTAACTCTGAAATGTTCGCAAAAAGAAAAGGAGTACTTGTGGCACCTTAGAGACTAACAAATTTATTTGAGCATAAGGTTTCGTGAGCTACAGCTCACTTTAACTCTGAACAAAACATTATGGTGGTTCTTTCAAAAGTTTGCAACTAAACATTGACTTAATTGACAGCTTTGAAACTTTACTGTGCAGAAGAAAAATGCTGGTTTTAACCACGTTAATTTAAATGAAACCAGCACAGAAACAGTTTCCTTATCTTGTCAAACCTTTTTTTTAACTTTCCCTTTATTTTTTTTAGTAGATTACGTTTAACACAGTACTGTATTTGCTTCTTTTTTTTTTTTTTTGTCTCTGCTCTTGCCTGATTCATAGAATCATAGAATATCAGGGTTGGAAGGGACCTTAGGAGGTCACCTAGTCCAGCCCCCAGCTCAAAGCAGGACCAATCCCAAATAAATCGTCTTAGCCAGGACTTTGTCAAGCCTGACCTTAAAAACCTCTAAGGATGGAGATTCCACTTCCTCCCTAGATAACCCATTCCAGTGCTTCACCACCCTCCTAGTGAAAAAGTTTTTCCTAATATCCAACCTAAACCTCCCCCACTGCAACTTGAGTCCATTACTCCTTGTTCTGTCGTCTGCTACCACCAAGAACAGTCTAGATCAATCCTCTTTGGAACCCCCTTTCAGGTAGTTGAAAGAAACTATCAAATCCCCCCTCATTCTTCTCTTCTGCAGACTAAATAACCCCATTTCCCTCAGCTGCTCCTCATAAATCATGTGCTCCAGCCCCCTAATCATTTTTGTTGCCCTCGGCTGGACGTTTTCCAATTTTTCCACATCCTTCTTGTAATGTGGGGCCCAAAACTGAACACGGTGAGAGAGACCTCCAGATGAGGTCTCACCAATGCCAAATAGAGGGGAATGATCACATCCCTCGATCTGCTGGCAATGCTCCTACTTATATAGCCCAAAATGCTGTTAGCCTTCTTGGCAACAAGGGCACACTGTTGACTCATATCCAGCTTCATGTCCACTGTAGCCCCTAGGTCCGTTTCTGTAGCCACTCAGTCCCTAATCTGTAGCAGTGCATGGGATTCTTCTGTCTTATCCTCTGCACTTATCCTTGTTGAACCTCATCAGATTTCTTTTGGCCCAATCCTTCAATTTGTCTAGGTCACTCTGGACCTTATCCCTATTCTCCAGTGTATCTAGCACTCCTCCCAGTGTAGTGTCATTTGCAAACTTGCTGAGGGTGCAATCCATGTCATCCTCCAGATCACTAATGAAGATATTGAACAAAACCAGCCCTGGGACCGACCCTTGGGGCACTCTGCTTGATACTGGCTGCCAACTAGACATGGAGCCATTGATCACTACCCGTTGAGCCCGATTATCTAGCCAGCTTTCTATCCACCTTAGAGTCCATTCATCCAGCCCGTACTTCTTTAACTTGCTGGCAAGAATAGTGTGGGAGACAGTGTCAAAAGCTTTGCTAAAGTCAAGGAATAACACGTCCACCGCTTTCCCCTCATCCACAGATTGCGTACTTCCGGTTCCAAATGAGGTGTGTGGTTGGCCGGTCAGTTCGTAACTCTGGTGTTCATAATTCTGAGGTTCTACTGTACTTGCAGAATTAAGGTGAAGCATTTTTTATATCTCCATGCTAGACTGTCTTACAGGACTCTAAAATAGTTAATGGAGGAATTGCAATTGAGACTCTTAATTGCAGTATACATTCAAACTTAGGGCCTGATCCTGCGCTATTGAAATCAATGAGAATTTTTAAAATTGATTTCAGTGGAAGTAGGATTGGGTTCTTCAGGTTAAAGTGTGCATATGTATAGTTCTTAGGTGGCCAGTCCAATATTTTAGATTCCTCTCTCACCTTTCTTGCTCAGATAGTGTTTAATCAGTTTTCTTGTGTGCTTGGAGTCACTGTTGTACTGGAGGATATTCCGGGACCAAATAAAGCTCCAATCCTGCAAAGAGAGCTGTGTGGATGGACCCTTGCACCCACACATAGCAGCCCTGAAATCATTGCGGTTTTGTGCAGGTGCAGGGGTTAAGACTTCAGGTATTGTATAGTAGATTAGGATTTATTTCTACTCTGGGGCATTAGTATCCTTTTTTAAATTTTCCCCAGATCCCCCCTTTACATTGATAGAGCCTCATGAAGTCTGAGCAACTGTCTAGAATATCCTTTACCTAATAATTGATCTAGCATCTGTAGGGCAAAATATTTTGAATTCAGATTTAGCAATGATTAACACATAATTCTAATCTTTGTTAATTTCTCCAAATTTCTTGTCTGTTCAATTGCTTCTCTTTTTACTTAGTTAATTACTTAAATTCATTTTTGAAGGGTAAACCACTGAGAAACTAATTTATTTTATTAGGGAAAATTGGGATGAAGCTTGTGTGTTTTTGTTTTGTTTTACTTGCTTTATTTGTTCTCTAACCATGCTCCAGTGTGGCTACACATCATTCTCTGTCTTTTTCTGATGCACTTAGATAGCTTTGTTTTTACATCTTTTTTGTTAATTAAAATTAATTTGCTTAGTTATTCCCTGTATTTATGTCAAGATACTGATATGTCTCATTATTCATTTGTGTGGCTTTCTTTTCTTAAATTATTGAAAATTCTGTGTGCGCGTCTGTGTACTTTCATATATCCTAGTTATTCAAGGTAACAAGCAGGATTTAGGATTGTTACTGAGCCCTTAAAAATGGCAAATTTAATCAAGAAATTTTATGCTTTTCCTTTGTTTGAAAAGCTGTCTGAAAGATTTATGGTTTAGTAATGTTTCATATAGCCAAACAAAGCATACTTAATGTTACATAAGGGAGAATTAATAAAAAATATTCTCATATGAGCAAAAACTCAACCTAAAATTAGAAGCCTAAAGCAAATCTGTTTACGGAAAAGGCTAAGCCACTACTTATTTTCTTATTTCCATTTCCCTGTCCCTTCTTATTTTGTACCAATAGCCAAATATCTAGTAGGTATAGAAAGCGTATACATGAAAGACTTAGTGCCAACTTCTTGATACTGAGATACTGTGGCCACCAGCTTTCGTTAAAAAACCCTGCTTTAATATTGATGGGAATTTTGCTTGGAAAATTGGTTTGTTCTGAAAATTGTTAGATTAACTCTGAGGGCAAAAGAGGATATTCCTGAAGAAAATTAAACTGTTCTTACGTTGTCATTTTAAAAAAAATTACCCTGAATTTAACTTTTGAATGTTCACGGATGACATTAAGCTATGGGGAGAGGTGGATACTCTGGAGGGTAGAGATAGGGTCCAGAGTGACTGAGGCAAATTGGAGGTTTGGGCCAAAAGAAATCTGATGAGGTTCAATAAGGACAAGTGCAGCGTCCTGCACTTAGGACAGAAGAATCCCATGCACTGCTACAGTCTAGGAAACGACTGGCTAAGCAACAGTTCAGCAGAAAAGGACCTAGGGATTACAGAGGACGAGAAGCTGGATATGAGTCAGCAGTGTGCCCTTGTTGCCAAGAAGGCTTACAGCATATTGGGCTGCATTAATAGGAGCATTGCGAGCCGATAGAGGGAAGTGATAATTCTCCTCTATTCAGCATTGGTGAGGCCACATCTGGAATATTGCATCCAGTTTTGGGCCCCCCACTACAGAAAGAATGTGGACAAATTGGAGCGAGTCCAGTGGAGGGCAATGAAAATGATTATGGGGCTGGGGCACATGACTTATGAGGAGAGGCTGAGGGAACTGGGCATATTTAGGTTGCAGAAGAGAAGGGTGAGGGGGGATTTGATAGCAGCCTTCAACTACCTGAATGGGGGGTTCCAAAGAGGATGGAGATGGGCTGTTCTCCATGGTGGCAGGTGACAGAATAAGGAACAATGGTCTTAAGTTGCAGTGGGGGAGGTCTAGGCTGGATATTAGGAAAAACTATTTCACTGTGAGGGTGGTGAAGCACTGGAATGGGTTACAGAGGGAGGTGGTGGAATCTCCATCCTTAGAGGTTTTTAAGGCCCGACTTGACAAAGCCCTGGCTGGAATGATTTAGTTGGGGTTGGTCCTGCTTTGAACAGGGGGTTGGACTAGATGACCTGCGGTCTCTTCCAACTCTAATATTCTGTGATTCTGTGAATAGTTTGTCTCCTCATAATACATTTATTTTAATTGAATCCAGTCTGACAGAGCTGAATATAGAATTTTAATGTCTTTCCCTTTCTGGTAGATAACTTTGCCCATAGAGCAGAAGTCCGGAAAGCAGTAGCCAATGATAAAGAATGGCAAGGAAAATTCATCTCTCCAGTTCTGCCCTTCTTGAATAAACAAAACAATGAAATCGTTTACCTGGTACCTTGGTGTGAGATTGGGAAGCCTTCAAAGGAAGGGGGTGAGCTTTATCTGTCTTTGTATTGATTAAAGCTATCAATGTGGATTCAATAATAAGAAATAGCTTAATGTTTTAACCAAATGTGTAAAAGGCTAGGGAAAAGTTCAACAGTGACTTTCTTTTACAGGAATATGTAGGTTAGGGTAGGGCACAGCATACGTGTGTGTGTGTGTGTGTGTGTGTGTGAACTTGCACTTTCATGAGTGGTGGCTAAAGCCCTGTGCAGTATGGTTGGGAATGAATTGGAAAATTGGATGGATGAACAGCTAAGATGAGCAATCTATTCCCCCTACAGCAATGCTCTGAATATTTTTCTCTTAACTTGCTTCTTTGCTTAATGTATGGGAATGCATTTTCTAGAGATATTAAAAGACAATCCAGTATCCCTTCTTGCTTACAGATTTCATGTTTTACAGTATAAAAGAAAATAAGATTGCTGCAATTTGTAGTGTGATTTCACGCACAAGGTCAGTTTAGCAGATGACACTCAGATTTTTCACAAATCCATTCACTTTTCTCTCTCAGTTTAGGAACTATGTTTTTTTTTTTTCTTGTTTTGTCACAATCGTGATTTTAAAAACCTTCTATGAGGTAAATATGCATCATTCATGTAGAATTAATTGTGTTTTTTATAAGGCATGTTGGCCACAAATATTTTCCTATCTATCTACTATCTACATCTTCTCTAATCCTTCAGTAACAGTGTTGCCAGTTTTAACTGTTCATCCATCTATTTATCAAGCCATCCAAACCTCATATTGTTTATTACATGGAATTTTCTCAACTATTTGGAAATGGTGGAGATTTAATCTGTGGTATTTGTGTGTATATCTGTATATATAAAAAAGAACCTTTGTTCTACATTAGTGAGTTTTGGATTCTGGGCCTTTTATTTAGTTTTAGTTAACAGGTAGATAAACCCTGGCTAACTTCCTGTTAAAAGTAAGCAGGTAACAGATTATTTAAAAATGTCAATTTGTTGCCTTCCACTTATGTGTAGAATGGAGCTAAAATGTATATGTGTCCAGAGTTGGAGGATTAAATTGGAAGATATATTGCCTGGTGGCACTTACCTTGATTTATATTAGAGTTTTTGTTTGAGATCACATTTACATTGGTGTCAGTACAGATTAATCCCTGGAATGTCAATGTTAAAGGTGGCATGTCTTTCAGCAAGCCTGGAGTCCAATCTGTAAACCTTGCCGTTCCTGTAGTTCCTCCTCAAACAGGAAAGACCCTTGAAGGATAGAGCTGATACGTTTGTCCCAGGTGTCTGGTCAGTGATTGCTGCTTTGGCCTTAGGACACCTCTTGCTGCGATGGATGCTGCCAAGATTCATGTAGTGGTTATGATGTCACAAATAATATTGAGCACAAAGGACACTGTCAGTTTCAGAAAGGGTAGTAAGATCTGGGCTAGTTCAGATTGTTCATCTTTCTGTAGACTCAAGAGATTTTGTTGATTTCTTTTCTGTGACCTGTATTCCTGTGTGACATGATGGATCTTGGGACCATTTGGAGCAATGTTTTGGTCTATTAACCCCAAAGAGTTGAAAGTTACTGCTTTAACTGAATCACAATAAATGTGAGGATGGCTTGTAAAATGTTGATACCTTTTAGAGAATCAGACGATTAATTTGACATTTTGTGGTTTGTACTGCTGTATTCTTTTTCCATCAGGGGTGTATGAGATGGTTACTTTTCAGATGAAGCCTGGTGGGCCAGCTCTGTGGGGCCAAGCGTTCAGAGCTGCAATCAATGCTCATCTCAATACAGGCTACACGAAGCTGATTGGTGTTTTCCACACAGAATATGGATTACTTAACAGAGGTACAATACTAGTCAGTTTCCAGTACAGTCATGGGCACAGAGGGGCAAAGGTGCAAATCGGCAATACTCATGAGAGTGTTCAGACTCCTGATTAATGTAACTACAACTTTGGAGGCTGCATTTTGGATCCTGGGCCTCTTGTATGGCTTTAGCTAATCAAAAACTGTGATGTCTTATCATTTCTGTCACCATAACTTTACTTGCCCAGAGTCTGCATCCATAATGCTAGTACCGAGCACTGGTATGATGATGATGGGGTGCTTGTCTCATAGAATCATAGAATCTCAGGGTTGGAAGGGACCTCAGGAGGTCATCTAGTCCAACCCCCTTCTCAAAGCAGGACCAATCCCCAGTTAAATCATCCAACAGATTTTTGCCCCCTCAAGGATTGAACTGACAACCCTGGGTTTAGCAGGCTAATGCTCAAACCACTGAGCTCTCCCTCTCCCTGTAAGCCTGCTACAAACCAGTGCCAGCACGAGCCCTGTGGGGAATTGAAACTCCATATATACACATCATGCTGATAAGCAAGCCCTGAAATCATTGAAAGGATTTAAATTTATAAATAAGTCTGCCTCATGCTTGCTTATGGATCTCTTCCCCTCTCAAATATGGCCAAATTACTCCCTCTTGCCAGGGGAAAAGGAGCAGCATCTTGGCACTAGTTCTGGTGTCACTGTAAGTGCATGGAAGAGCACACATGCACCAGGATAGCCCCATTAGTATCATGGATGCTGCATATGGACATACTGGCTCTGACTAGGTAGACAGTTGTCTATTTCTTTTTCCCTGAAATCATGTTCACTGTCTCCCTGAATTCAGCTTGACATGGGGTCTAAAGACAGTTTACTGAAACTAGAGTTGTGGCTTAAAAGGGTTAGAAAATGCAGTGTTAAAAATCAGTGTAAGGAAAGCTCTGCAGAAGGAATGTCTTGGAATGTAGTTGTCTGATGAATTGCTGCTTCTGGGTGGAGGATTTCAGAACAGAGCAAAGGACCTGTAGGATATTTCATACTGTAATTTAGCTATGGTCTCACTCTTCAATTTGTTTTGCTTTTGTTTTCACAGTTCATGTGCTCTGGTGGAATGAGAACCCTGACAATCGTGCAGCAGGGAGGCATTATGCCCATGAGGATGCTAGGGTGGTAGCAGCTGGTAAGCAAGAAGGCTCTGTCTTTTCAGCATGTGTACTGAAAATTCAGAATACAATTGATTTAAGAATGCTGTCTTGATTTACCTAATTCTGTGTATTTAATTTCAGTGCGGGAGAGTGTTAGATTCCTGGAGTCCCAGCAAAATATGCTCCTGATTCCTATGCCTTGTTCACCATTGAAATAGTTTTCTACCAACTGATGTAATGGCAGACAACACAACTTTCATACAGCATTTTTATCCTGAACTGTCATATGGGTCTCTCTCAATACCAATATAATCTAGCCAAATATTCTTCAGTTTACAGTATGTGGATAAAACCTGAATCCACATGCTTAATCTTTGCCGTAGTCCTCTGCACTCTATGCCACAATAAGAATTCAAGGCCTGTCCACCATGCCATGAACTCTGCAAACGCTTCATATTAGCCATGAATTTCTCATCTTATTGCCACTTGAAGATGCATCCATACAGAAGTATTCTATAACTGGTACAAAAAGGTACAAGGCCCTTGCCAAAGCTCACAGCTGTGCCAGAGCAAGGGAGATTAGAGAGCTGTTATCTGTATAATGTACTTTGCTACCTCCTGAAAAGGTCACATCTTCCCAGTTACTACTTGTTGCCCTAAGAAGCAGGAATCCTAGCCTAGGTTTTGCATGCTGACCATACATCTCACAGATGTGTCTGCTTGTATTTATTATTTTTAATAAGGTTGCAATGAGGTTGGAATTAGGTATGAGAAATGTTGCAGTAAAATTGTTCAAGTGGTGATATAGGGAACTCCGCTTAAGTATCAGGAGCACCTTTTTTACTTGAAGTACTGTATTGCGATTTACTTAAATACTTTCTATTGTGGGTCTACACCCCTTTATTCAATTATGACTGAACAGTAAGTTACATGGATCACCTCTCCATGCAAATACTTGTTTATTGTGCTGAAATGGATTATGAATGAACTGATTAATTCTGAGAGTTTCTTTGTGGATTGTGTATCAGATTAACTGTCCACTAAAGTACATATGCCTATACTTTTGAAGAAAGCTTTGCTAGACTGTAAAGCTTAAAGCCTAATAAAAGCATTGATTATTGTTCTGCATCTTCTATATAGCTATATTACATGCCTAAAACTCTTCCTGTTCTTCCAACCAAGAGGCTATAATACTTCTATAAATGCAGCATTCTGAAGGTTCTACATGTTGGTTCCAGCAGCCTAGATAATAGTTCCTTTAGAGCCAGTAATCTTGCCCCTTAACTTGCTGGAAGGAGTCACTGAGTGTGTCAATGCATGTTGCCCATCCGTCTGGGACTAAAAATCAAATCTTGGTCTAGTTTACAAAGCATTGCCCCAAGATGTTAATTCAGTTACTTCATACACTGAATAAGTCAACTTGTGTGTAAAGACTTACAACTAAAGCCTAGTTTTAAAATAAAAGCAAATATAAATGGGAAAAATACTGTCTTTACAAATGTTAAAGTTAAGTCGCATCCCATGGGCAAGTGTATGCAGTGTAGATAGGCTCTAATTGAAGTTGCCAACTCTAATAGCCCCCCTTAGCTGTTCACTGCATTACAGAGGACACGGGCACCATCCTCAGGATGATAGGACCAAGGTCAGACTCAGTGGAGACTGACTTCTTTAGAGATCAGTTCTTCCTATCTAAAAAACAAAAAAAAAACAAACCAAAGCGCTAGATTAGGTCTTCAACTTGAATCTGATTTGATTACGCTACTACTATCAAGTTTGAATATCTCTGACCTTAACCTGGACTAAGTTTTAATAACCAGATGTTATGTGGCAGAGGGGGAGGGATAGCTCAGTGGTTTGAGCATTGCCCTGTTAAACCCAGGGTTATGAGTTCAATCCTTGAGGGGGCCATTTAGGGATCTGGAGCAAAAATTGGGGCTTGGTCCTGCTTTGAGCAGGGGGTTGGACTAGATGACCTCCTGAGGTCCCTTCCAACCCTGGTATTCTATGACACTGAGATTTACCCTCCACCATACTGGACTGCAGAAGTAAAACTTACATTAATATTGTTTGCATTAAAGGACTAAAACAATTCAGTTCATGGGGAAAGGTGTAAAACAATTTTCCACTTTGTGTGGACGTTCACATCACAAGCCAAACATAAGTAAGGTCCTCCTGCTTGTCACAGATGAATAGCACCCTTCTAAGCAGTAAATGCAGAACAGCAAATTTTGTCGAACAGTGCTGTTACAGCTTTATTTTTGACTTAATACAAGGCAATTAAAATGCCTAATACTTCACAAACAGTTATTGGCAAATACAAATATATATATATTTATTTTTAATGAAAATGTCCATTGAAAGATTTAACTTAAAAGTTTTGTTGTGAAATCTCTAGATTTTGCAAAGTTAATAGATATTCCAGTGCAAAAATAGATCCCATTACAGACAGCATAAAGTGCTTGGAATGAAGGACCAACAGTATTTTTGGGGGGCAGGGTGGGGGGGTACGAGGAAGGGGAGAAGCACTTTATCTTGGGAAAAATAACATGTATAGTCCTTATTGAAATACAAATATACTACAAAAAGGGTTGCAACAATTTAATAGCATACAGTAAGTGGTAACATTGTTTCAAATACATAAATGCCCTCAATGCAGTTCTGTTATCAGCGTGGTTCACAATTGTAACACGTGTGGCACTAGGATAATTTTGCCTGACATCCAACTCCAAGGGCAGAAAAGTCGTTGGAAATCATTTCAGCGAGTGAGAGAGCAGTATGAGAGAACTGTATGGCACAGGCTGGATTCCATACAGATTAAAAAAATGTACAAAAGTCTGAGATTTCTCCAGGGACTGAAGAGTTGTGAAATATTCCCGTTACCTTCAACATCTAGGGTAACTTTCTTTTTATCATAGAAGCCAGATTGTGCATTAGGAATCTTCAAGGCTTTCTTCTTTGGCAGGGTTAGGAGAAATGTGTACTTGTCTATGCACTGCAAATGAAATCATCCATCAAAAAACTGCAACCATCTGTATGGGTTTAAAATAAACTCCATTGCAGTGGGCTCAAACTTGCACACCCCACATTCGTACTATACTGATTGGTAGTTCTGTGCATTGCAGGATTGAGTCTATTGCTGTAATCTTTCTGTTGATATTGTGAATTAGTGCCACTTGTGGTGTTGGTTTTCAGAGGTACTAAATGTTCAGTGTGTTCGCTGACTCTGAAAATCACACCGTAGCCCAGATCCTGCAGCCCTTAGTATCGTATGAGTTACAGCTGCAGGATTGGGCCCAATATTTATAACAGCTCTGCTCTTGAAAATATAATGTATACTGTTAATTTATATTAATAACTCGCTGAGGATACTGTAGGGAAGTGTCTGAGTTCTTGTAAGTACAATACAGATTGTTTTAAGAAATGAGGTATACTAACCCCTTCTTCTGTCCTTTCCCCTCTACAACTGTATTCTGTGGATTAAATTATGAATACAGAATGTCAAAGGCACTTCAGCTGAGCTGTAGCTTGGTTTGCTTTATTCCAATGCAGGAATACAGTGAGTACTGGTAGACTTAACCCTTTGCACAGTGCTTCATTTAATAAAATGCTGAATTTATCAATGCCAAGATGCCTGGAAGTATATAAATAACCATCACATTGCCTAATGCTGCTAAAGTGATAATTTCAGTTCATGGCACTTTCCATATTTATTAGTGTAAGACTTCAGGGCATTTACTGAAAAAAATCAAGTCATGATGGAGGAGCATCAAGAGGTAATAAATACATTTTAGAGGCACAGGTTCAGCAAGGGACATAAAGCACAAGTAGCCCTGTTGAAGTCAGTGGGGCTGTTCATGTGCTTAGATTTAGACCCAGCATCAGCAAGGGGCTATTTTATCACAGGTTTAAATATTGAAGCACGGCCAAGGTACCTGAGGAACACATTTGTGCAGATGTGCTCCCAAGGCACAGCCAGACGAGAGAGTGTGTCAGTAAGTCTCACCATGATAAACATTTTTTGGTAAAGTTTTGAAATTTAGATGACTGATAGCTGTCACTGTGGTGTTGTTCCCAAGGGGAACTTGAATGAGGTGGTTTCCCACACGAACAAAAGTAAATTCTGCAATTAGGGTTCACCTAATAACTGAAACTACATCACATTAATCTAACCATATCTCAATTTCCATGGAGGAGAGTTTCAGGCAAATTTTTGTAGCTGAAGCCAGTGCTAGTGGGAGTTGCATAGATCCTGTTTAACAACATGCCTATAACAAATTGAAGCATTTCCATACCCTAACTATGCTACCTTTTTAAGGACATAAATAATACTACTGAAAAAAAATCTACATCTCATCAGGTTTTCAGTTTAAGTGACAAAGCCAGAAATGACACCACATTTGAGCTAAGCAATAGAGAATTTCAGATGCTGGTTACCTTTCTGCTGCCTTGAAACGGGAATTCAAGACACTACATAGCAGAATGACTGTCTTGCGTTTTATAATGTACTCTGGGCATTAGCAGCATATACAACCACTGAGTTTGCTGCTCTAGTCTGATCACTAGTTTTGCTTCTCATCCACTGCTCTCTACGCAGTCCTTGTGCAGCCTTCCAAGTGGCACTACTGTGGTACCTCAAGAGGAGCAGCAAAGTACTTAACTACAGAAAGGCTAGTTAGGAAGCAGGTGATTGGTCTCAATGCTAGTGGGACAGTCCCATACATTTGCAAGGTTCAGAGTTGTGCACACTGCTACCCCTGCAGCGGATGATGAGATGGGTTATCAAATCTCTGCATACCATCTACATACAGTATGCGTCGTGGTTTAGGATTATTACCGATTGACCTCCACCAGTCTATAAAGATCTTTACAGAGTAGCTGGTCAAGTGGTTCCCCCCCCCACAAAATAAGGCCACAACACTGTGCCTTTTGGTAACTGGTTGGCACTTACTGTTTCGGTGCATTCATTGCCGGCAATGCATTTAGCACCAGGGAAATTCCACTCCCAATATGAAAAAAGTTAAAGAGTATGAACGTGCACACCTTTAAAATATCAATAAATAAGCACTGGCCATGATTCCTCAATGAACGATTGTTGCAACCCTAGGAAAAGTATATGATGTAGGAACAAAATACAGTATGGCTGAAAGCCCACAGTGTCCAATGGGTTCCATACTACAGTTTCACAGAGTTATACTGTAATGAACTAGATTCAAGTCAGTCACTTGAGAACAGTACAAGGCAATGACTCCCAAGAGGCACTGCCTCTGTAATGGAATTTTGTTTTCATTGCATTGAATTGCATTGCATTGAATGGTTATCAGTAGAGTGTCCAGTTCACGTCTTTCCCTCTGTATCCTCTAGCTTTCGCCTTTGGGAATATCCCATTCCATGCAAAGGAAGGTGCGCTGTCTCCTCCTTCTGCTCAACACCATGTCCTTGCCTATGATAGCTCACACGCAACTTTCTTTCACCTTCTCATCTCGCAGAAAGGAAGTAAGGATTGCAATGTCCACAACAGTCTGGTTTTTGTGCAATGACATGTCCTTTGTGTGGTCATCATCGCTTTGGTCCTTGGCAAAGTTTACAAACACCTACAAGAGAAAAGGGTCGTGTCTTTAGTCACTTTGGTTCTGCTTAGTGCAGAATATTTTCCTCTATGAACTGTTTGTTTAACATGGATTCAACCCTGCTCCCTATGGAAATCAATGACAAATTTCCCACTGGCTTCAGTGGCAGTAGGATTAAGTCCAGTATCTACTTCTTGTCAATTAAAATAAGAGTTACAGAAGAAAAGCCCAGGTGGAAAAATCAAAAATCTGCCACACAGTAAGCAGCATTGTCCAAAGGCCTCAGCTGCCTTATCAGCTGTTCTGGCTACAGCACCCCTCTTCATTGCACTGGCTTCGCTGCTCACTGCTTTGAGCTCAACATCCTATTCATCAATTTCTTCCTGCTTATAACCCTCATTTTGTCCTACCTTCCTCTGCATCCTCCGTCTCTCACCCTTTGCTTCTGATCACTCTTGCTTTCAGCCTCCTTTTCCACTATCCCCAGAGTGGGACCTCTGTGCCGAGCATCCTCCTCAAACCCTTTCAACACAGATCTCTTCAGCAATGGCAGTGCCATTCCTTTTCCTCCCTTTGTACTGTGCAGTGCCCGTGCTAGATTATAAACTCTTGGAAGCAAAGGCCCTGCCTTTTGAAGTCTCCTGGAAGGTGCCATGTATTTTTACAGTGCTGTGTACCTTGCATTTATAAATACCACAGGTGTTTACTGCGTGCTATATACCTTGCACTGTCAAGTATTACCTTGCACTACTATGGTGCCTCTCATCTGAGGATTTCAAAGGCTTTTATACACATGAATTTCGCCTCACAAGACCACTGCAAGGTAAGCAGGCATTCTGAACCCCATTTTACAGATGAAGAAACACATACACACACATCGCGTAAATGACTTTACCCATAGTCACATAGGAAATCTGTGGAACAGGGAACAGAAACCAGGTATCCTAACAGCCAGTTCTGTACAATTGCAAGACTATAATTCCTCCCTCAAATGTGTTTCTCTTAGCTTTTACGTCGCATTTAGCCTGCATGTTTGATTCAGAATAGGGAGAAAAAGATGCAGTGAATAAGCCAATTACGATAATGAAGATAATACCTAGCTCTTATGTAGTCCTTTTCATTAACAGATCTAAAAGTGTTGTAGAAAAGGAGGTCAGTAGCATTATCCGCATTTTATGAATGGGGAAACTGAGGCCCAGAAAGGTAAAGTGACGCCCAAGCTAGTTGCAGAGTTGGGACTAGAACCCAGGTCTCCTGAGTGCCCTATGCACTAGGCCCCACATAAGTAACCCATTTGCCTTGCTACAAAGGTGAAATTCATTGATGTGTTACCATCTCCATGTAGGAAATACTCAGCTGAAGACAAATGGCCCAGCTCTGCTCCCAGTCACACGCTGGAGGGCCAATGACGTCCGTGAAGTTACTCAGGGTTTCCCAGCCATGTGAGGAGAGGAGAATTCGGCTCACAACGCACTAGAAACTTACTTGATCAAGTGTAGTCTGAGAAACGGAGTAGTCTTCTATGTGGAGTCTTTTTTTGTTCTGGGAGAGGACGCTAAATATCCTGGCCAGAGAGGATGGTGAGGATGGAAGCTGGTACTGCAGCATGTTCCGATGCTTCTCCTTCAGGACGCTGCCAGGAAAGGCAAGCCCAAAGAATTCCTGAACGGGCTTCAGGTTAGGGTTTGCCCCCGCTATTCGCACTACTATTGTATAACCATCTCCAAACCTGCAAACAACAGCACACAGAAGAATTTAGGTGCTTTGAAAAAGGGGTGTCCTTTCTTGTAGCTTAAAGAGTAACAAGAAAGCCACGTAAGAAGAACTGAAGAAGGAGAAAAATCACTCATGTCAATATCCCAGCAGCTCAGATTGAACTGGGATGGGCAGCCCTAAAAATGCAGGCCCACTGACCATTCTGTGGCCTGAGCAAATTGAAAGCGCTCACCTGTTCTTCAGATGCTGGACACTGCCAAGACACCTGAACCGCCCGTTGACCATTATTGCCATTCGAGTGCACAGGGCTTCACATTCTTCCATGCTATGGGGGCAAATGAAAAAACATTAGCCCTGTAAAAAGGCTGCATTTTCTGAACTCACCACCACCACGTAGCACCAACCTGCGTTAACAGAAACAAAACAGCTGAGCTGAACGTTTCGATTTCAAAATCCACCCCCAATTAAATCAGACTGGAGAAATACAATGAAGTATATACCCAACTATAATGAACACTACATGCCTGTGAGATGTAAGCACCACTGATCTCCCCTCCTTGATGATGCTCAGAGCACAGTTCCATAAGAAACGGCGTGCTTTGGGATCCATTCCCGTGGTTGGCTCATCCTGAAAATTACATTTAATAAACCATGTTCTACTATAACATGCTACTGATAAATATTGTCATAGTATATGAAATAGTGTAACTGTGAAGAGTGAAAACCACACCCATCCAAATGATTTTTACTGGAAAAGTTTAAAAGAAGAAAAAGTTTCATGGAAACTTTTCCCCTTTTCAAAACTTAAAATATGATTTTTTCCCAGAAATGTTAACTTAGTAAAAATTTGATCAGTTGGTCAAAATTTGGGGAACAAATTTTGTGAACATCGTTAATTTTTTTTCTCTAATTACTAAATTTGATCATCAGTTTCAAAATTGGAAAAAATTAATGAGCTCTAGTTTAAATAGAATGCGTAGCTCTCACTGATCACATACTATGGATTTTAGTAGTTGTCTTTCAAGAATTCACAAAAGGAAAGATAAAACCGTTGCTTTCTTATCTGTTTTTTTTTGCAAACTGTTTACACATAAAGGGCTGGATCTGATCATCCATCTATGCACAGTACTCCCTTGAAGTTAAGGGAGTTTTGTATATAAAGCAGTGGCAGGCTATTGTCCTTAATTCTTAGTGAGTATCCAAATCTAGATGGTCATTGCCAAAGTAACTGGAAACAACTCTCTGGAACAAATTTCCAAAAATAGAGGCCTGAAGCTCATGCCATATATTTTGCCCTGTATTTGTACATGTAACTACATCATGTTCACATATAGGTTGGCCTTTGCACACGCAAATGACTTGTTATGCATTTAAATGTATACTTCATTGCTAAATGGCAAAACGTCACAGACCTCAATGGGAACAGCATTCAGACCTAGTTATTTTTAATGGAAAAAAATGTTAATACATGAGCAGTCGTGAACTCACCAGGAACACCACCGGAGGGCTCCCAATCAGGGCAATAGCAGTGGAGAGCTTGCGTCTGTTTCCTCCGCTGTAGTTCCCAGCATATTTTTCTCCATATTTCACAAGGCCCAGTTTACGAATTGCCCATTCGCCAACCTACAGGAAGAGAGGGCAATAGGACCTTCTGAATCGATATCAAGGGGTGAGGAACTACTGCACTGGAAGGTAAAGAGTCTTTGGGAAATAGAAACATATTTATAAAAATTAGGGCTGTCCATTAATCGCAGTTAAGTCATGCGATTAACTCAAAACAAACGCGATTAAAAAAATCCTGATTAATTGCACTTATAACAATAGAATATCAATTGAAATGTATTAAATATTTTTGGATGTTTTTCTATATTTTCAATATTGATTTCAGTTACAACACAGAACACAAAGTGCACAGGGCTCACTTTATATTATTATTTTTGGTTACAAATATTTGCACTGTAAAAATGATAAACAACAGAAATAGTATTTTTCAGTTCACCTCATACAAGTACTGAAGTTCACTCTCTTTATCGTGAAAGTGTAACTTACAAATGCAGATTTTTTTCAGTTACGTAACTGCACTCAAAAAGAAAACAGTGTAAAACTTTAGAGCCTACAAGTCCACTCAGCCCTACTTCTTGTTCAGCCAGTCGCTAAGACAAACAAGTTTGTTTACATTGACGGGAGATACTGCTGCCTGCTTCTTATTTACATCACCTGAAAGTGAGAACAGGTGTTGGCATGGCACTTTTGTAGCCGGTGTTGCAAGGTATTTACATGCCAGATCATTCATATGCCCCTTCATGCTTTGGCCACCATTCCAGAGGACATGCTTCCAGTTGACTATGCTCATTAAAAAAATAATGCAGCAATTAAATTTGTGACTGTACTCGTTGGGGGAGAATTGTATGTCTCCTGTGCTGTTTTACCCACATTCTGCATGTATTTCATGTTGTTATAGCAGTCTCGGATGATGACCCAGCACGCGTTTGTTTTAAGAACACTTTCACAGCAGATTTGACAAAACGCAAAGAAGATACCGATGTGAGATTTCTAAAAATAGCTACAGCACTCGACCCAAGGTTTACGAAGCTGAAGTGCCGTCCAAAATCTGAGAGGGACGAGGTGTGGAGCGTGCTTTTAGAAGCCTTAAAAGAGCAACACTCTGATGTGGAAACTTCAGAACCCAAACCACCAAAAAAGAAAATCAGCCTTCTGCTGCTGGCATCTGACTCAGATGATGAAAATGAATCTGTGTCAGTCTTCAGTGCTTTGGATTGTTATCAAGCAGAACCCATCACCAGTATGGAAGAATGTCCTCTGGAATGGTTGCTGAAGTATGAAGGGACATATTTATGTGCCAGATGCGCTAAAGAGTTGTATCTTGCAACACCAGCTACAACAGTGCCATGCGAACGCCTGTTCTCACTTTCAGGTGACATTGTAAACAAGAAGTGGGCAGCATTATCTCCTGCAAATTGTAACCAACCTTGTTTGTCTGAGCGATTGGCTGATCAAGAAGTAGGACTGAGTGGACTTGTAGGCTCTGAAGTTTTACATTGTTTTATTTTTTAATACAGGGTTGGTTTTTTTTTGTACATAATTCTACATTTGTAAGTTCAACTTTCATGATAAAGAGATTGCACTACAGTACCTGTGTAAGGTGAATTGAAAAATACATTTTTTTTGTTTTTTACAGTACAAATATTTGTAATAAAAATAAATATAAAGTGAGCACTGTACACTTTGTATTCTGTGTTGTAATTAAAATTTATTTGAAAATGTAGTAAACATCCAAAAATATTTAAATTAATGCTATTCTGTTTTTGTTTAACAGCACGATTAATTTTTTTAATCACTTGACAGCCCTAGTAAAAATAGATCCAGTTATACAGCACTCTCGTTGGATAATGCTCAGTGCCCATTCACTTGGTGGCAAGCTACTGTTTCCCAGGGCTTGTAGTAACATGACTCATTGTGCGCTCATAGGAAATGGCCCAAGATTCCTCAAGGTGCTTGCAGTTACTACACACCACCACTGCAGATGAAGGCCCTTAAACTGATTGAGGAAAATCCTCAGCTGGTGTAAACGGCCACAGCTCCTTTACATAGATACAGCCTGTTAGTATTTCCAGACCAGCACTCTGTTGAGATCTCCCGCATTTGGGATGCAGATGGTGCACGTTGCTGACAGCATGAGAAATCAACAGCAGAGAGGGAGGGAGTTGATACCAATGGCCTGAATGACTGCTCCAGCACTGGGAACACCAAAATGTCAGTGTTCAAGTAATGAAAATTTAGTCCCTATAAAAGATGAGTGGCCAGACTGGGAAACCCTTAAATTGGTGAGCATTTATTCCCAGTGAACTCAGTGGGACTGCTCCTCAGAGTAAATGATCAGCAACAGGAATAAGGACTCCACCATTTGTCCCTAAATAAGCATTCCTTAAGGCAACAGATCAGTCTAGGAGTAATGGTGACCAGTAGGAAAAGCCCAGGGAGGGTTTAACTGACTTGAAACCCAGATTTACTGGTAGTATCAGCTGCTTTGGGCAGGACACAGTTGTCCTAGGTAGGAGTGAACGAGCAGAACACTTGTTTGGTACTGAAAAAATACAGGAGATGACAATTTCGCTATCCTGTCCAAACAAACGGATTGCAGTGGGCAGCGGAATGCATGCCAGCAAAAATGTGTAACCAGTTCAGCCAGGGTGTGTGCTTTCCGTTTTGCGTACCTGGCAGACCTCTTTCTCAGGAACACCCCGTAAAAGTGCAAAGAACTCCAGATGTTCTCTCCCTGTCAACAGCTCATTAATAGCATCAAACTGAGGGCAATAGCCCATGTTCTGATGGACTCCTTGGATGTTAGATAAGATACTGTAAAGCAAGAGAAGATCCATAGTTAGGGTGGTGCAACATCCATTGCCTTTTCAGGTAGGGAATACAGAACAGGGGTGTGACCAGTCAACATTCTGGAAGTATCAAACCCCAGTGGCTTAGGCAAAGATGTAACTGGATCCCCAAAGCAATTCGGGGTCACCTTAATTTCTTTTAAAATGTGACCGTTAATCATGATGGGTACCTTTTCAAAAACGCCTACGTAACTTCAGAGCCTATTGGCATGTCTATATGGCAAGTTACTGCGTGGCAAGCCTGGTCTGCTACAGCACAGTGAAAACCCTGGAGTGTCAGCAGTAAGGCAAGCTGCACTCTGGGACTTTCGCTATGCAGCAAGCTGATGTGCTGGAGTTTCATACCATGGCTTGCTCCGCAGTAACTTGCTGTGTGGACAAGTCCTAAGCCCCAATTTCAAAAGTGACTTGGGGTTTAGGTACATTTGAAAATGTTACCCTATGACCTTGACTCAGCAGAGCACATGCTTAAAGTTAGGCAGGTTTAGCCCTAGTGCAAGCAGGGGCCAGTCTAGCAAAGTCAGTGGAGTTATATCTGCTTGGGAATTTGAGCACACAGGAAGGAGAGAGAAGCAGAGGTTTTTCTTTGGTGTAAAGCAGAGGGAAGAGGAGTTGTGTCTTCTGCTCACCTGTTTCCCTTCAGAAAAGCTTCTCCTCCCGTCACATCTGTATCTCCAGTTAGCATCTTGAAAGTTGACGACTTGCCAGCGCCATTCACTCCCAGGAGGCCAAAGCACTGAAAACATTAAAGAGCATATGAATCCATGTGTATTTGAGTGCATGATTTGTCCTGCAGAATCTTTTATTACTGACAATGACACATAAGGCAGGAAGAAGTCGCTGGACTCTCAGAGCTCAGGGTGAGAGTGAGGGACTATAGGAAAAAAGCATCTTTTTATGTATAAATGTGAGCAAATTTGATCTGGAATTAGCAAGACAGACGAACGCTGGCTCCCCCTATTCTGACAGCTGCTCTTCAGTGTAATACCACATTTTCATAGGAAGTTTCTGAACTTTTATTTCAAACTGAAATCATTTGGAAGGGAGGAGGGAACAAAAGCATTTTATCTAGTGGAATAGCCTCAGACTGCGTACCAAACACTAATGTATTTATCCTGCCACCCCAAGGGAGGTCCAGGAGTGTGATTATCCTTGTTTTCCTGAGGGATTTAGTGATTTGTCCAAGGTCACACCCAGAGTTTATGGCAGAGCTGGGAATTGTCTTAAGCACAAGACCATGTCTCCTCTTTATTACAATGAAAACCTGAAGGATTTCAGCTCTTATCCTACTCACTGCCTTCTACTGCTCCTAAATAGTCAGGTAAAAACAAACACAGATCTAGATGACCAATTGGACGTTACCTCCCCAGGAGGGATTCCAACACAGATCCGGTCAACAGCTGGTTTTCTCTTCATTCTATAAATCTGAAACCAGGAAATACAAATTAATAAGAATAACAAACGTGGGAAGGTGGGAGAAGAGAGAGAATCTGAGCCCCTCATACTTTCTAAGACATCCTTAAGGCTCCAGTCCTGATCCCCCTGGACTCGATGACTAAACTCTCATTGGACTTCAGTGGGACAGGATTAGGCTTTTTACAACTGCATCAAATCATACTAACCATACTCCCGGAGGTAACTGGTGGTTGAGATAATCAGGGGAGCTGATTTTGGTGTCTGCACTCAGGCATACAAGGCCAGAACCTTGGCTGGGGTTAATTGGCGTAGTTCTGTTGATTTCAATGGAGGGTCTGGCCCAGTATCTGATTGGGGAAGAAACTGTAATGTGTCAAGACAGTACCCCAGACATGTGAGACTTGTGCCCGAGATGTGTGTGTTTCTGGATGAAGATGCATTGCTGACATCCAACACATTTTACCTGATGGAAGTGAACTGCCTTTTAAGTCTGTGAATAGAATATATCTGGACCCTGACTCAAAGTCCACTGAAATCAGTGGGAGTCTTCCCCTTGACTCCCGTGGGCTCTGGATCAGGTCCTGGGTAAGCTGTGTGGTACTGGTGAGGGACTGCCCCACTCCCAACCTATCTAGGTAAGCATGAGCAGCCCTCTATCTCTCACCTTGGTCAGCTCTTTGATTTCAAGGATGTCACTCTGTCCACCACCACTAATTATCCTCTGCCTCTCCCTGGTCACATCCTCATCCTCATCATTGACAGGAGACAACTTGGCACTGACAGGCCTTCGAAGGGGAACGAGTCAACATGTGAAAAGGAAGAGGAGAAAGCATGCTAGGTGAATGCATTACAAATGAAAGACACAGAGGGTGAGACAGGTATCAATTATGCACCAGCATCCAAACAGAACACACCTGGGGAAGCCCATCTGTGTTTGCAATTCAACCCTATGCAGAAGGCTAGCAAGCTGCTTCCATCCCACTTAGGCCTTCAAAGCGAGGCTTCAGTGCACAGGCCATGTGCTGACCCTGTGCATGCCGGGGAACTTCACCCATAGCGAATGCTGATCTGTTTGGTGTCAGAGATTCTATAAATGTCTCACTGTTAAATCCAGGAACATGACTCCTAAGGTCTCCAGCACACTCCTGGGCTACTGATTATTGCTGTGTTCACATAGCATCCTCCAGGCAAAACCGATTTCACACCAACTAACGTTTGCTCAAGTTCAAAATATCGCCAAGGACCAAAATGTCCTTTCTTTGAGATGCCTCCCCCAGCTTTTCTCAGGCTGGTTTGATTGGCTTGGGGTACACAGGGAGGTGGTTTTGCACTAGAAACTTTAGGCCCATTCCTGCTGCCACTCAGGTAAATGGAAAAACGACGTACAGGGTCTGGCTGCACGAGAATTTCCCACTGTCAATTGACAATGAGATGGTACAGTGGCTGGCTGCACAAGCATCATCACTAACACAAGGCTGATAACTGTGATTGGACGTTGCTGATTGTCTAAGTTGTAGCATGGGTCTTTTGCAGTATGACCGGGACAGCTGTGTCCTATATGTCAGAGCCAAGAGCACACCTCAGGCTTCTGTGCATCTTTCCCCCCCGCCCACAACACTGAAGCATGGTGCAGAGCAAGCTTACCTCGGTTTGATGAAGAACCTGTACTGGATGAGCACTGTGATAAGGAAGAAGACTGCCCCTTCCACAGCCATGGCAAAGAGGTTCCGTCCCACCAGATCCCAGGACAGAGGGGACACAAAACGGTTCTCGCCTGTTTGGAAAAGCCGAAGCACACAGTCAGCTTTGCACAGCGGCTGGAGAGACCAACACAAAGATGAAAGGCTCTTGCCCTGAGAGAGCTTTACAGACTCATTTTAGACAAGATGCAATGAGGGGGTGACACTAAGGGGAAAGAGAGGACAAAGATAATAAGATCACGTGGTAACCCAGTTTTGGCTTGTGCACATAGTACTTTTATAATAGTGATATTCAGATGTTTGGTGTGCTAGGAGCTGCACATAGCTATAGTAATAGACAGGCCCTGCCCTGAACAGTCTACAATCTCAATAGACAAGACAGTGAAAGGAAGCATTATCCCCATTTTACAGAGGGGGAACTGAGTCACAGAGAGATGAAGTGACTTGCCCAAGGGCACACAGAAGGTCTGTGGCGATGCCAGGAGTTGAACCCAGCTCTCCTGACTCCCAGCCCCACTGCCTTAACCACACGACCATCCTTCCTCTCAACTTGAGGCTGCATTTCACACAACTACATTTTTGTATTTTTAAAGAATCAGTTGACTCCCTAATAACTCAAGCTCTCTAACAGCTGAGAACTATTTGCTCTCTAGTCCTGGTAAGGAATCAGATGGGATAGCTACAGGCTCTGGCCTGTTCAGAGCAGACCTCTGTACTGTTTTCACTACTGTTAGCTAGGCACTAATCCTGCCAGGCCCTGTGAGCCAAGGGCCCTCAGTTCCTGGTGATTTTAATGGGAGTGGACGGTGCTCAGCACCTCCCAGGCTCATGCCCTGGGTGTCCAGCTGACGTTGTGGATCCCACACTGTGTGAGGTCACTTACCAAACCTTTCCAAAGCGTCGGCCATGGCCTGATTTTTCACCATGTCGATGAGTCCCCGCCCCAGGCAGAAGTGGGGGAAGACGAGGAAGACAGACTTCAGGATTTCATTGATGTTGTTCAGCTTCTAAAGGAACAAAAGCCAAGCACAGATCAGCCACTGCGCTGCTTCTCAAGGCAGACAACAAAAAGGCAGGGAGGCTTAGCTTGCTGAGGGTGACTGTCCTGCGAATTTGCTTCCCAATGGGTAGAAACAACCACTCCACCACCAACCTCTGACAGCACAGATTAGACAAACAAACCTGACAAATAATGGGAGAACCCTCTGGACATGATGATAATTGTGCCCCAGGACCCCATGGTGCAAAGCACTGTATGTACCAACATCACAAAGACAGTCCAGCCAGGAGGGCTCACAGTCCAAGATTTAGATAATATGCTTGAGGTGAACAATTAGGGCTGGGTCGAGGTAACGGCAGAGGGATGCACTGTCTCAGCGCCCATAATAGTCACAGATTACCATCAGCTGAACTAATGCCAAGCAGGCATGGGATACCCCATTCCCCCAGGTCTCCAGAGGGCAGGGGACTGGTATTCTTATCTCAGCTTTCACTTCCATCTCCCAGTGAATACAGAGCTTAGCTTGTCTGCACAGCACTCAGTAGCTACCAAACTCACTTTTTTCCCTTTGACTATCGATTAGAAACAGCAGAAGAGTTTTAAGCCCCTTTCAGCAAGGAACGTAAGCACGAGTCATGCCACTGATGTCAAAGGGGCTACTCGTGTGCTTAAAGTTACACACATTCTTACTTGCCTTCCTGAACTGAGGTCTTCTGGGCAACATGCCCCACTTGCTCCACCATTCCCGATTCTGACCACCTGACCTAGCCTTCCCTACCACTCCCCTGAATACCAGGAGTGGACACTGATTTTCTAAGGGCAATGTAAAGCAGCAGCACTGGGGGATGTGGCGGCGGCAGGACACGTCAGTGGGAACATACGTTGTTGGTGAAGAGCTCGAGGACGAAAGTGGCCACGCTGCCATTTATGCCAATGAAGAGATTCACGCTGGTCAGCACCACGTAGGCTGTGCTGGGGATCTTGAACACAAAGGAAGCTGGGTACATGAGTGGCGTTATAGACCACCTGGTGAGCAGAAAGACACAGTAACACACGTCATTCACAGCACACAGTCCACTGGGGCCTCAGGGATCCCCTCGAGAGATGCAGCCTTACCCATAGAGCAGGAGGAGAAGGGCCAGCGCAGGCAGGTTGGAAGAGGACACGTAGGACTTCTGTTGGAAGCAGATGAAGATGATGATAACCAAGGTGGCTGGAACTATGTAGTTGCACTGGAAGGAGGAAGAAATAGCTCCAGGTTACTTGCAAAATAAAATCAAAAGCATCTTAATGCTCTAAATGGAGGAAATCAGGGTAAAAATATGGGAATAGAATTGAAAATTATGATGCTATCTGCTCAGAAAATAAATCTGCACATTATACGTGGTGATTGGAGAGCTGGCCAGCCACTCCACATCTTCCTTAGTCCAGCACTGGAAACGTACTGTGTACTCATCCTAGGGTGAATCGCAGTGCCCAGGATGTTCAAATAAATGAAGAGGAATAAGTCAAGGTGTTTATGATTGTCACAATTATTTGTATTAGAATAGCCAGATACGGATGAGAGGTTTTTCACATATGGGGCCCTGTTGTGCTGGCTCTGGACATGCACAAAGTGACAGCCCCGCCCTGGAGAGCTAGCAATAGATTAAAAGACAAGATATAAGGTGGGAGGGGAAACAGAGGCATGGAAAGGAGAAGTGACTTGCCCGAGGTCACAGAACAGGCCAGCCAGCAGCAGAGCTGGGAATCAAACCCAGAGCTGCTGAGTCCCAGGGCAGTGGCCTGACCACACTGTCAAATCTTCAGCACTAGCTAATGTCAGTAAATTCCCCTGAAAGTGGGAGTTCACCATGCCCTTTCAGTAGGTGTGTGACCATATGCACACGTCTGTGTGCACATATGCATGCACCAGGGCCAAATTCAGCCCAGCCAGAACTCCATAACTGCACCAGCTTATTCCAGGGATGGTCAGCTGTGCAGAGAGACAAATGCTGTGTTGGCAGGACCGCCAGGTGGGTGGAGCAGGGGCAGGGCAGCTTGTCAGAACTACCAGGCACCAGAACACTCATCACATGCGTCCCGTTAGGGCACGTAGAACAGCACACATTCCTTCATCCCAGGGAACTGCAACGAAGGCGAAGTGCAAACACATTGTAACCTGCTCTAAAGGACGAGCTCCCGTGAGGCAATCTTACCATATCCCAGACGAAGTTAGCCAGCCAGTAGATCACCGGCTTCACCCCGCTGATGAACTGCAGGTGCTTGGCCTTGCTGACCCGCTCCTGGATCAAGAAAACCACAAAGCTGGCTGGGACAAAGGACATGGCGAAGATCACACAGATGGAGACTAAAACGTCCACCGACGTGGTCATCCTGGGCAGAGGGAAATCAGAGTGGCAATAAATTACTGCCAGAGTCTCCCTCCAGACGTTCCAGTGCACATTAGCACCATAACCTGAACAGGGGCCCGATTCTGCCCCCCTCACTACGCAGTGGGAATGCAGGTGGTAGAACCGGGCCCTCTGTTTAAGCCCCGTTGCAGGTACGTTCATTGGAACGGCATTGGTAGGCCGGATAATGATGAGAGGTCTTTCACATGTGTCTAAACGCATGGGAAAATGTAGGGATTTACAGCTGGTCTTTACTCCACCGAAGATCAGATGTGCAGGGTGCGGGCGCAGGAGAGCAAAGCTCCGCCCAGCACTTTTCCAGCGTTAACAAGTTTCAGCATAATGCAGCTGGGAGAGTCAGGGACTCAGATTTGCAACGCTGCTTAGGGGATATGGACACCCAAGTCCCATTAATGTAATGGGAATTGGAGATGCAATTCCCATAGGTGGCTTTGGAAATCTCAGCCTGGAGTGCTGCAAAATCCCTGGCCAGATCCTCAGTTGGTGACTACAACTGGCCACGTTAATCCACATTTGAATCACTAAGGTAACCTGGTTCTTTTATTTACCCGCTCCCCTCCCCAAGCACTCATTTCTTGCAGCTTCCTTAATTCCAAGGCATTTTCTTCTCCCCTCCTTTCCATTCCCCATAGCCCCCCCGTCTCCAGCAGGCTGCAAATAACGTTCATACTAGGACGTACAGGGCGACCTCAGAGAGCTGCTGCTTGGTGAGGTTGAGCGGGTGGTTGAATGCGGTGATCCCGTAGGTGCTGGGATTCTCGCCGTCTTGAAGGTTGGCCCGGAGGATGGCATTGTTGATCACATTCAGAAAGGAGCCAATGGCATGCCAGCCTTTGTTATTGAACCAAACCTGAAAAGCAACACACCAGCATCAATAGGATTGCCAGCCATGCCTACCATTCTACAGGCTCCCTCGTGTCCATAGCCAAGGGGTTCAGAGGTCTGCAGCCACTTCCGTGTGGTGGGACGTTGTACTGATTCTTCCTGCCTTTTTACAAACTATTGTCAGCCACCTCAGTGGCACAATATACGGTTTGACAAGGGCATCATATATGCCCCCTGGTCTCCTGAACAAACGTCGTAGCATCACTTCAGTTTATGAGGAACCTGGGATGAGGTCCTAAGCATGTGTGAATGGATGCATATGGCCCATGTGCACTGGGAAAGCACAGTCCATGGTTCCTATGCTGGTAGCAGGTACATGCCACGATCTACTGATTTCCAAGACCTTGATCCAACATCCATCAGAGTCAATGGGCTTTGGACTGGGGTCCAAGAGGCCACTCTCTCCTGGAAAATCCCACACAGGGATGTGGGCACTTTGGTTCTGTTGGCAAACGAACACATGCTGCATACAGATCGCCAATTAGAAACAGAGCTTGGTTTAAAATGCTAGGCTCTGGCTCTGAATATCAGGCACAGCAGTGGGTGGGCAGGATTTACCTTCACGTTGTTTTTTGTGTCCATCCCTTTCATGAAGCTTCCCAAGCTGTGAAGAAACTGATCTCCAGAACTCCCCTGTGAACAGCACACAATGGCACATCTGTTTCATTCAGTATAGACCGTGCTATGGATACCTTATTTATACTGGTTTCTTTGCCACAGACTGGGGAACGGGTAAGATGTCCCAGCCTCACACTCCCCCCTGCACTGCAGTCCCAGGGCTCAGAGTCTGCTCCCACACTATTCTTCTGGGATGACTCCAGAGTGGGCAGGAAGTTGAGAGAGCCCCAGGGAACTCCAGAACTCTCTTTTGTGTGGTAGCAACTAACCACCACAGTCCCACACAGAACTTTCCTATTACACCAGCTCTCGGAGACACGGTGTCACAAATACTTGCCCTCCCAAGAAAATCAATAGCCTAGATTCCTTCCTGTGCCAAGATCCATTAAGTGCAAAGGGGTGGGCCGAGGCTCACTGATTCTCTGAAGCAATTTGCACTTCCCAGGCACAGGTTAGAGCAGGTGCGAGGCTGCTCTAATTTACGCCAAGTGGCAATTGGGTTGGATGGGGCATAGAGGCCCTCTACTCCAGCTCTGTGCCATCTGAGTGTAGAGGAGCTCTGAGCTAGCCAGATCCAGCTGCTATCTGGCTGCTCTGAAACATCAGAGTGGCACAGAGAGGCCAGAATGAATGAGGATATCAGGCTTGATTTTTTTCCCCCCTGTTCTCATGTTGTGGTTTCTGAGACACCCAACTTGCTCTCTGCTCTCTCTCAGATTCTGAGCTGTGCTAGCTGATAGTAACTGGGATCTTTTTTTGTGGCTCCTCACTGACATCAATGGAAGCTTACTGGAGTTAAAAAGGAGTAAAAGCAGAATAAGGGCCTCAGGACTTAGTCCTCTTTAAGTCAGTTTCCTGACTCTACTTTGGGTTTATATGATCAGGTATTACGAGACTGCAGTTACCAAATGGTTCTTCTGAATTTGAACAATGATGACTCCTCCCACAAATGCAGTTATATTACAACCCATGCTAGCATAATGTGGCTCAGCACATGGTCCTTTATCTCAAGCAGAGGAAACTCATATTTTTAGACCCAAAGGTCCCGGGGTTCAATCCCTGCTGGCCACACTCCCTCCCACCCCCAAGGGGGTACTGTGATATCAGCACATTCTGAGCCCATACGAAATTGTCTTCACCTTGGCTAGCTCCAAGATTTTCTTCACTTGCTTGATGGCATCACTGACTTCATCGCTGGGAGGAAGCAGGAGGGAACTGCTGGCACCCACTGAAAACCCACCATACCTGAAAGCACAGACAGACAAGATAGTGAAGCACAGACTGACTCTACAGTGTCCTCCATAAAAGGCCCTTTTTTACAGCCTGTGGCTTTTAGCTTGCTGCTCTGTGCTGGGACCTAATACCTCAAAGTTAGGCCTTCAGTGGCAACTTGAAGTTTACATTTGTTTGTTAAGCTTCCATTCGACAGGAGCCTCTCGGGGAACCCACACAGCTCAGAGCAGTGAGCCTGCCATGCAGACATGCCCGAACTGAACCAAACAGAACTCCAGCTCGCTGAGCTCTCAGAGGTGACAGCAGGACAATCAGGGTTATTCCTCCCAAGAGCTGTGCTAGACTTGTGATTAATTCCCCCAAACAAAATTAGATCTGACTGTTTACAAAAGTAACCTGTGGCCTTTCCACACTGCAGTCCAACCTTTTAGTCTGCTGCCCTTTCATCGGGCTGGGGTTCGAGGACGGGGAAGCAAGGCAGAGAGCAGCTACCGTTCCACTGCTAACAGCAAAGTGGGGTCCTCTCTCTGGCTTGGCTGATCAATGCTCCCCTGGCCCCTCTTAGGATGGTGCAATTGATTGTACTAAGGACCCAATCCCGCAAGGGCTTGCGAATGAGCATCCTGCTAACTGGAACTACTCACAGTAGCAGGCAGTGTAGTAGGCAGACAGCATTTGCAGGATTGGGCCCTTGACTGCTCACAAAGCCCAGTGACTAGGGAAAGGATCAGTAATTGTGGATACTATTTCTAGTGCAATGCTAAAAATAATCATTTCACTGAAATATTTCTGGTGGGTTTAGATTTTGAAAAAAGCTTCATTTTACAAAAACTAAATTTAGGGGCAAATTTGACCAGACAGCAGCCCACAGAGCATGGCACTCAATCGGTTAATGAGTTCCAAGCAACCTAAAGAAAGGACAGTAACTTACCTGAACTCATTCACCCAGATCTTGTTCCTTAAACTGGGAAGGCAAAGAGAAGAAAACAAGTCTGTTATTTATGAGATGGACCATCAGTCAGACCTACTCTCCAGCCACATGAACGCAGACTGTAAGGAGACAGTCGTGCACTAATGACGCGGGTCAGAGTAATGCTTTGTGTAACTCCAAGGAGTTCAGTTGTGTCACCCGGCAGAGGAGTTTGCCCTGATGCTTTACACGGATATAGCAGCTCCCGGGCTCACTGCTGCACCACTGCACTGCACTGCCTTTGCCCACGGGATAAAGCAGAGATGGACCTGAGCTGGAATTGGACTCAGAGACGCTTCTGAACTTGGCTGACGTTCTGGGCTGACTTGCCAGACTTATGTCCAACGAGCTGCCTTTGCATCCCAAAAGCATCAGAAGCTGCTCAGAAACCGTAGCCGGGGGCCGGTGGAGTCTCCATCCCTGACAAGACTTAAATCAAGAGTGGGCGTTTTCTAAAAGCTCTGCTCTGGGATTATTTGGGGGAAATTCTCTGGCCTGTGTTACACAAGTGGTCAGGCTGGATGATCACAGTGGTCCCTTCTGACCCTGGAAGGGACCCAGCAGTTTCAGGCCATGGTTTTAAAGGCCTCATATTTTACTTCAGGAAGAAACATTTCAGCTAGTGGAGTACTTTGCTGGAAACACTTCCTGCTGATTTGGGCTGGCTTGCACCAGCCATTGAGAGAACAGGCAAAGTGAGTTCGAAATGTAGGGTCTGATCCAAAGCCCATTGAAGTCAATGGAAAGACTCTCACTGACTTTGCATCAGTCCCTCCAAGGTGATCGGGAAGGGACTGTTAGCTCTACACAGGCGGGTCTAAAAGAGCCTAAGTGCGTACCAGGGAGTCGAAGCTGGGGTGTGCCAGGAGAAAGCGCAGACTAAACTCACTGAGCCTCCCATAGCGTCACCTCTGCAGATGGCCCAGAGTTTAAGGCTCTCTAGGGGTCAGAGTCACCCCATGGGAGTTATGTGGTGCAGAGGTCTCTGCACAGGGGCAGCAGCAATCGCCAGGGAACAATGTGTGTAATAGGCACCTTTTCCCAATGATCTGCGCGTAGGTCTTCACCAGATAGTCCGATACGTTCCGGCCCGTCAGGTTCTGCAGGATGTCGCCAGTGTTCTGTTCTCTCTGGTGCCAGGGGGAAGCAGAGGGACTTGGAATCAAGGATGTTTTCCTTGGCTTCATGCACATCCCCCCAAAAGACCCAACCCAGCCGCCCGTGCTCCACGCACATCCCCGGGCTGCCCTGGGGCTACCGAGAAGCTGGGACCTCTCCTACCTGTGGAAGAGGCAGCCCCCCCGCGCCAGGTGGGCACACAGGGAGCATTTTCTTGATCTTCTCATTGCTGCATTCGCAGGCCGGGGAAGGGTTCTCCATGGTCCAGTTGCCATTCAGGAAGACGTCCAGGACCGTGTCGGGGACAGAGGCGGTGGTCCATTTATCCTCTCTGACCAGGCAAGGAGTGTCTCTGCATGAGGCCAGAGCCAAGGCAAATGCGACGTTTTATGAGACCGGTCAGCTGGCTCCGGGGCGGCTCCCCAATTCCGCTGCCCCAAGCAGGCGCTGCCGAATTGCTGCCGCGCCAATAGCGGCAGAGCTGCCGGCCAAAAGCCGCCACGGCGGGGAGAGCGTCGGAGCTGCCGCCAAATTGCCGCCGCGGGACAGGGACGGCCGCCCCTTTCCCACTGCCGCCCAGGCACCTGCTAGCACCTAGTTTGCTACACTACGTAAACAGTCAGCGCCGGTCAACGCGCCGATGGAGTTTTCCGAAGCGCTCCGCTTGGGCCTAGCTCCGCTCCCGCTGAAACCAACAGTCAGACTCCCACTGGCCTAGCCTGGCCCCCGGGGAAGGCAAAGGGAAAGTTCTCAGTAACATCAATGGGAGCAGAGTCAGGCCGACGCCGGGCACTTTGGACAATCCCACCCATTATCACTCCTCTCGGGGGAGCTTCGAGACCTTTATTTAACTCCGCCTCACAGCCCCCAAGAGAGCTATTTTGTGGGGCGGGGACGCTGACACGCAGGGGTGTTTGCGGGCTTGGGTGGGCCCCGAATGCCAGCTCTGCCTTTGGGGTGGGCATGGAGCTGCGCTGCCCCAGGGTAGCCCCAGGAGGCAGTGTGTCTCGGAGCTCCCGTTCACGCAGGGTGAGTCTGCCTGCTACTGCACAACTTTGCAGGTGCAGATAATTACCCCCCATCAACCGGCCTACCCCACTGCCTGATGTGTGGGGCAAGGAGCTATGGCCCCATCACCTCCCTACCCAGCTGGGGGCAGTGACTTCAGTTCTGGGTGGCCAGATCACACAAGGGTTGGTGGCGGGGAGGGTTCTCCTTTGTGCCTTACTTCCAGGCACAATCGGGCCATAAATGACTTGCCCAAAGCCACGCAGAAAATCCGTGGCAGACAGGCCTCCCATCCTGCCTGCTAGCCATGAAAGACCACTTGTGGAAGCCACACACAGAGAAATCCTGCAGAACACGGAGCAGAGAACTGTGGGAGCAAAACAACTAGACCAAGCCAATGATACACTGCCCCGTGGCCAGTTCGGCTTTTTCTTTTCAAAGCCAGAATCCCACTGCTGGTAACCTGGGGACACCCTTACGTCTCTATCCCGGTCAATGACAGTTCCCAGCATGCTGCCTGCATGGAGCACGAGCAATGGTCTGGGAAACCCTGGGGGGCAGGTTCTTGAAGAGAGAAGGAGAGAGGTTGTTTTCACAGTACACGACTGCACCCCTTTGTGCTCTGTTCTGCCCTGTGGAGCGAGTAGCTCCCACTAAAGTCTGGGTCAATACTCGCAGTGAGCAAGGGGAAGGAAAAGCTGGGCCTGAGCCTGCAACCCTTCCTTATCTGAGTGGCGGTGGCAACGAAGGTTGCCACCATAAATCAATACTTTAATACAACATAGGAGGCAAGGGTCCTACACCTCTGAAGGAAGAGCTTTCAGATGAGTCCAGGCCGCTGGGATCAGGCCTTCTGCTTGGTATTTCCCTAAGCTGATCGCTACAGCTACTTCTAACTAACCTCCGCCATTGTGCTAATACAAACACCGCACCCACCATGCTGAGGTTACGACCCCTGAAAGCGGATTCGGAGGCTGGTGGCAATGGCAGCTATGATTTATGTGACACACATTAACAGCATCTACCGGTATCTCAAAGCAGCAGCAACATCCAGTGGCTTAGAAATGACAGAGCTGCTCCTTGCGCCTACCCTTGCTCGGGTTCTACTTACGGAATGGAGTGTCCTTCCACACAGCGGGTCCCAAAGCCGGGTTCATTGACAAGAGTGTTCACAAGCTTCTGAGTGCCTGCATCATCTGGTGCGTCATTGCTATGGGCGCATCAAAGAAACACAGTCAGGGCACCGAGATAAGGCATGTGCAGCAAAACCAGCAACATGGCAGGGCAGAGACACAGGCAGGAGGGTAGGAAAAGGAACTGGGTGGAAAGTTTTCTGTGTGGAATGTGTGTGTTCTCTCTCTCTCACACACACACACACACACACGAAAAGTACTGTAACATTTGGAAAGAGTTTGGGATACTTTTAGCTTCTTTTCTGTGTGATTTAGCATCTGAGAACAAAGTGAATTGAGATCTGAGGAAGAAAAGTGAAATAGTATTCTATTCCTCCTGCCAATCAAGCTCACTCTTATTTGGAGCTGCCTTGTTAAAGCTAAGGCAAAATGGTGCCTTTTCCTTACACTGTACTTTGGAGCTATGCACACAAATGCAAACTTAGGTGATGAGACCGTAATGGTGAATAGAGAAAGCAGAACCAGTCCTAAAGAATGTTTTCTGGTCATTTGAAAGGTACCTGATAAAAGTGTACTGCTCATCATACATCCAGGGCTGCAGTTCCAGGCTGGGGTATTTCCCAAAGGGAGGTACGATCAGGCTGAACATGAGAGCAATGCACACAAACACAGCTGGCAGTACGATCTGAAATCACAAGGGAAGAGGCAGAGCCACCTTTAAAAGAACCGCCCCCATAGGCATCAGCCACCCAGAGTGATGCATTTAACCACTCGGAGACACTGTGACCTCTACAGGAGCTGCTGCCTGGTCTCACCTGGGCGAAGAAACCCTTCCTGCTGCGCTTGGCAATGAGCAGCCTCTTCCACAGCAGAGCTACGAACTGCTGCCGGATGAGCTTCCAGCCCTTCATCTGGTAGGAGCCTTTGCCATCCACCCCACTGAGCAGGTCTGTCTCTCTGGATTCTGCTGACAACGAATGATACAGGACTCTCACCCACATAGAAACAAAAGCAGATTTCCTTCTCCTTCAGAGGCTGCTCCTGCTTGTGCAGACAGAACCCTGGTGGCTGCCCATGTTCTTACCACTGTGTCTCCTAGACACGCTCTGAGCACAAAGGAGTATGGCGTGCAGTGGGGCCAGGGGAAACGATCTCTCATGAATATGCATTTGAGTGTTTATCTTTCTGCATCACCGCGGCTGAGACTACTTCTCCAGACAACCTTCTGATCTGGCTGCCATTCATTTCCAAAGGGAACTGGGCATCCAAATCACACATTGCCTGATGTGTGGGGAACCTCACTTTTGGAAACCTCAGCCTTACAATCTATACCAGTGGTTCTCACACTGTGGGTCACGACCCCCTTTGAATGGAGTCGCCAGGCTGGCTTAGACTTGCTGGGTCCCAGGGCTCAGCTTCCAGGCCCCCGACTAGAGGCCGAAGGCCTTGAACTTCTGCTTTGGCTCCCCTGCCCGGAGCAGTGGGGCTCGGGCAGGCTCAAGCTTCGGTCTCCCCTCCTGGGGTCGTGAAGTAATTTTTGTTGTCAGAAGCGGGTCATGGTGCAATGAAGTTTGAGAACCCCTGCTCTATACTATCTGTTGATTAAACCCCTCTTGGAAGCAGAGGTGGGCCAAACCAGAAATGCCAGCTCTGAACATCCCCAAACATTGGGGAAAGTTCCACTCTAGATGAAACTTTTCAGCCCAGGTCCACCTTTCATTATAAGGTGTCCTATAACAGACAAAGGTGCATTATATATTTATCCTGAGGATTAAGAATATTAGCTTGGCCGTAAGGAAGGGTAGATGCATTTCAAAGGGCAGGGGAATGTTGATATGACAGCCGAGATCCAGCAACATCTGGACATAGAAAGCCCCTGCTTGAGTTATTGTGGCTAGGTCACATTGCCATAGTCTAGGTATCACTATGGGCACCTCTCTACTATAAAATGTCCTGATGCAGTGCCCAAGGAAATCACTGAAAAAGCTCCCATTTGACTTAATGGGTTTTGGGTCAGGCCCTAAGTCTGTCCCCTTTGGACAGACTGTCTCATGCATGTTCACACATTAGATTCTGCAGGGCACCAGAATGGGTTAGGATATCTAGCACTGATGCATAAGCAAACCTTGTTCCTCTTGCCTTGGCCCATGCAGGGAAGCAGAGATTAATAAACATCCTGCATGAGGATGGAGCATCCAAGGTTAAGTATGTCAGGAATTCTAGCACACTTCAACAAATGCCGGAGAAACTAATAGGACATTTGCTGGAAGGAATTTAAATAGCGTCCAAAACTCTTCCAGGGTGTGCTGGTTAGATCGTTTAAATGCCCTCATAAAATCTAGTATTTCTTGCATTGTGATTCACCCAAGAACATGGACAATGAACACATTTCTTTAAAACATTAATATTTTAGAACTGTAGATTAGTAATAAGGCACAGACAGACAGTTGAGATTATTGCACTACAGCTCCTTCCATCTTTACCTGGATCTATGTCTGAATCATTAGGGTCGAAAACATCATCTTCTGTGAATGGATGAAGGCAGCTCTGTCTGTCTCCAAAGACACGCCTGTTCCTTCTTGCAGGTAATGTGCCGTCTGAAGAGGACAGCACGTGTTAGCTGATTTGCTCAAGTTAACAGAGACAGTGAACAACCCTATTCTTCTATGAGCCCCAAGCACTGGGAACTGAAGTGTCACCAGCAAGCTACTGTATAGAAATCTTCACTGAATATTTGCTTTCAACTTTTAAGAAGTTCCCATATGCAGACTGAACAGCTGTAGACTGCCTCTGAGCTGCTGCTAAATCAGCACCAGTGCGGGGAAATGTAAAGAGCATTGATATGTAAAGTGAACCCATGTGCCAGGTTCCATATGGTGTCCAGGGAGCTTACTTTTAAGAACACTTCAAACGTCCTGTTTTTACATTGATCAATTAAAATTTGGGGGGCGGAGTATAATCCTAAAATGTTAATTCAAGAGTATTGTTACATTAAGCAGAATTTGTTCTGTGTTTCCCAGGAACAAAGAGTCTAGTAGAACAAATTCGTGGTGCGAAGAGCAGCATTTGTAGTGAAGAGAAAAGTCAACTGAACATAGACACAGTCAGAGCTGATCATTTGCTCAGAAACTTACTTAATGACATATTCAATGTTTCATGATAAACTCATTTGGACACTAAGTTACTGGAAAAAATCTTCCATTCCAAGAAATATGTGCACGTGTCTTGACACTCAGTAATGACATTTTTGTATGGCTATTTTGTGACTTTAAAAAAGTCACCACAAAAGTGTTCCAGTTTCTGATTTTGAAAATAATTTGTGTATCATCTTTCACTTGTGGCTTCTACACCAGGGCAAGAACCATCATTTTACAGATGGAAAAGGTGACACCCAGAGAGGTCAACGGATTTGCCCAAAACTACAGCACGTGTAAGTGGCAAAGTGGGAGACAGAACTCGTATCTGCTAAATTCCACCCCTTGCTCTAACCACTAGATGGTTGATTCTGCTTGCCCAATGGCTTAATTCCTTGAATGGGAATTTATATCAGTTGAGAATTTAACCCTCTGTCAGTTGTGTGCATAAGGGATGATGCATGCAAATCCCAGGTATAAAGCTGTACACATAGAACCTCCTTTGACAATGCAGCCCTGAAACGATTGCACTAACCTGAGGTCTCTGCATCCACCCCATTATCTTCAGCCACTTTGAGAAAGATCTGACAGGCAAAGAGAGGTTAAAAAGAAAATTAGAAGTGGTCTAATACAGCAATAATGTGCTCCCTGATGTAACATGGGAGATCCAATGATTCCAGTACAGAATGCATCATGTCAACATGAGGAGCTATATGGAATATCCCTTGCCTATAGCAGTGGTTCTCAACCAGGGGTACGTGTACCCCTGGGGGTACTCAGAGGTCTTCCCGGGGGTACATCAACTCATCTAGATATTTGCCTGGTTTTACAATAGGCTACATAAAAAGCACTAGCAAAGACAGTACAAAGTAAAATTTCATAGTCAATGATTTGTTTATATTGCTCTGTATATTATACACCAGAGGGTCTCAAACTGGGGGTCAGGGGTCACAAGGTTCTTACATGGGGGTTTGGGGGGGGTCACAAGTTGTTGGCCTTCACCCCAAACATTTGCCTCCAGCATTTATAATGGTGTTGAATATATAAAAAGCGTTTTTAATTTATAAAGAGGTGTCGTACTTAGAGGCTTTCTATGTGAAAGGGGTCACCAGTACAAAAGTTTGAGAACCACTGCTCTACACTGAAAGGTAAGGACAATGTTTATATTCCAATTGATTTATTTTATAATGATATGGTAAAAATGAGAAAGTCAGCCCTTTGTCAGTAATAGTGTGGCTGTGACACTTCTTTTGTCTGAGTTTATGTCTGATTTTATAAGTCTTTAAGTGAGGTGAAACTTGGGGGTACACAAGACAAATCGGACTCTTGAAAGGGGTACAGTCGTCTGGAAAGGTTGAGAGCCACTGGCCTAGAACAACTTAGAAATATAACCAGTGTGACACCTGAGGACTTGGCAGCCAAATGCAGCCCTATGATTTTGATTGCTGAGTTTGGGACAGTATTTTTTGGGGGGGGGGGGGGCAGCGGGAAAGGGGTGAACAGCACACATGTTCTATTAGCTCCAGCTAAGAATGGCATGGGACATTTTTTATCTGCTCACTATTCAATAATCATGATGCAGAGTAAGCACTTATTGTAACCTTCATCCCTTTCCAATGAAGATGCACATATGAAGCGTGGTATTAAACTGGTGGAAGTCCACCTGCCTTCTAATCAAGAAGGAACAACATTCCCAGCTGTGATGGGATATGCTTTCCCCTGTGATTTCTTATACAGGAAGGACCAAGTTTTCAAACACAGAAGACAACAACAATGTTCTAGAAGCTGCTGGAAGAATCAGGTTTTCCTTCAACCAGTTACAGAGGAAATCATGATAGTAAATGTGTTTCAGAAGGTGTTGCAGAATACAACAGACAGGGCTTCAAGGGGACTGGCTCTTTGTGCTGCTCTGGTGACGCAAAGCTACAGGAAAGCCAGTGTGCCCTAGTGAAAGTGAAATCTCTAGGTGGAGGAGAGTCTGGGCAGGGGATACGACCAAAATGTTGCTGAAATCCAGCAATCCCTGGCTGCTGGAATGGCCCCTTGGAGTCTCTTGGAACCAGGTGCACTTACAGCAGCCCCGAGATATCTGAAAGTACTTGACAGAGTAAGTTAAAAACCTGATCATTAGAAAATAGTTCGGGCCAGACCCCCAGCTGGTGAAAATGGGGAGCTGTACTGTCTATAACAGAGCTGTGCTCACTCACCCCAGCTGAAGACCTGGCCCTCAATTTTTAATGCACGTTTCCCTTGTGGGCACACTTAAATTGAGCAGGAGGAGAGAATTCTTTTCACACTTCCGTGGGTTATGAACTCAGGGCCAGACCAGTTCCCTGGTTGACAGGTTTCTCATGGATACACAGGGGATTTTGCCATGGAGTCTGCAATTACTTGTTTGGCATTGTCTAAGCCATCAGATGAGCTTCAGCTCACATACTTCCTCCAGGGTAGTCTCCGAGATGCCGTAACTCGAAATGCCCAGGTCAGAGAGACGGTCGTCGATCTCATGGAACAGCTCCACAAAAGCTCCTTCTCTAGCAGCTTCATATGGCAAGATGTAGGTTAACTCATGGCCAATCTCCTCTACCAGCCTGGCCTCAGGAACATGCTTCATAATGAGGTTGGAGATAACAGAGACGTCTGGAGGAACCAAAATACAAGATGCCTGTCCTGTTACTCTGTGGGTCACCGGTAATAAACACTGCAGAGACTCAAGAATCTCGCTGAGACACATCCTCAGCTGGGGTAAAACACAACCCAGTGAAGGATCAACTTCAGTGGAGCTAAGCCCCAGCTGCAGATCCAAGCAGCTATTTCTATTTGCACCATTTCTGAAGACCTTTGAAAACAGAACACAATCAACAGCCCTGCAAGCCACACTACACAAATGTTCTCTGTGCAGTGCTAACAATTGGCAAGCACATCGGCTTTGATGGCCCTTAAATTCTGGTCTCGTTTGATCGTTAGGTGAAATTTCATACTATTCAGCACTTTGCATTCATTATACTTTGCAAGTATTAAATGTCCCTCAAAACCCCAGATAGGGCAGTGCTGTTATCCTTTTTTTACAGATGGGGGAACAGAAGCAGAGAGGTTAAGTGAGTTGCTCAAGACCACAGCGGTGAGATTCAATTTCATGCATGCCTTTTTCAGTCCTTACCTATTGTCAAGGTGTCACTTTCATGGTCACTGCCAAGCCCAGCATCCGAGCTGCTCTGGGAGACACTGTCGTCCTAGGTACATAAGAAAGGATGAGCATATGTTAACTGGATCAAAAGGCAGCCAGCTGTATGCTGCACTCTTCTTATAACACCACCCAGAGAGGCCAAGCAATCCGGATGCTCTAGGAAGGGGCTATAGCGTAGAGGATCTTAATGTCCTTTATTGTAACAAAGGGTTGAGATAAGTACTGTAAGAGGATGTAAGAGCAGAAGCTAATATCAGCAGTGATGTATTTAATCTATTCAGGTAAGCAGCCAAATTGCAAAGCAGCAGCATCCATTGTCAGGCCGAAAACACTGTCATTAAAGATGCCATGCAAAGAGGGTGTAATGGACACAAGCCTCCAATGCAATGGTTTAACCGGATCTGATCTCAGAGCTGTGCCAAGGTAGATAATGCTTCTGTGCCGTGCTAAGGGATTTCTTTTCAACCCATTTACTCCATTGCATTTTAACTGTTGCTTCTTGGCAGCCTTAAGATTTGGTGTAAGGAGGACAGAGGTGGAAGGAGAAAGGAAGTGGACAGCCGCTATGGGAACTGTACCTTTTTCAGGTACGACACCGTACTGCTGCTGTTTCTGCAGGAGCTCAGTGAAGAGTCCACATCCTTCTTGACCAGGGTCAGGTAATAGCCTGTTCCCAGCTGGTTCTTCAGGAACAGGGAAGAGCCAATGCAGCACAGTTTGCCATGAGATATGATGGCGATCCTGTCCCCTAGGATGTCTGCCTCATCCATGTGATGTGTGGACAGAATGATGGTGCGTCCTGTAAACAAAGAAGGGAAGACAAACACCAAGGAGTTTGCCAGTAAGTCAACAATATCAACGTTCCTAGGTCATGGGGGATGCAAGCACCCTGCCCTCCCCATACTGCTAAATGGGTCCCTGGTATGAGTGGGGGAATGGTATGGAATAAGTTAACAACTACTAGCTCAGGTGGATTCTCTCCTCTCCTTCATGACCTAGTCCCCATCCTGTTTGTATTTCGCCACTTGTCTTGGTAGGCATTTACAGTGCTAGCTATGGAAATAGAACAAGCCACACCCAGCAGTGAGTGGACACACAGTGATATCAGCAATGGAAGATGTGGTGCTCCTGAATTCCCGATTCACCAGGTTCTGCTCAACTGGAGCAAGGGTTGTGATTTCGGGGTACACCAATGAAAGGGGTTTCATACCAATAAGTAAGCCTACTTAACACCAGAGGGCTTTACCCTAATGCAGACACCAAGGGTCACCTTCTGATCTGAGCTACACCCATATGAATCCAGTTACTCCAGATTTACACCTGTGGCAGTGAAATCAGAATCTGCCCTCCTATCCTCTTCCCTCAGTGGGAAGTGTACGTAGAACATGGTTTACTCTTGAGCACTGAAATGCAGTCCCACCAATTAAAGAGAAGGGTCTCGTTATAACGAGACTGCAAAAAGGGTCTCATTAATAGGGAATGCAGGTGTCTGGGTGCCCAGAGCCCAGGGCTGGGGCTGTTTGTTGCCGTCTTCTACCAGGGCACCAAGGGATTTGCAATGACACGTTAGTAACAATTTCCCCATACAATCAGCAAAGGCAGAACAATGTATTTTATCAAAGCCACAAGCCACTGATGCCCTTTCGCTTCCAACTATAACTGGGTGAAAGTATAGCTACCTTGGCGATACTTCAGAAGCAGTTCCCATATCCCTCGGCGAGAGTAAGGATCCACCCCAGCTGTTGGCTCGTCCAAAATGACAACCTTTGATCCACCCACAAAGGCCAAGGCCACCGACAGCTTTCTCTGCATGCCACCTGCGAAGCAGACGGCACGAGAGAAGAATTCAGGCTGGAGGTGTGAACAAAGGAGCAGTGATCTGTGCTGTAAGGTGCTGTGGGAGAGATTCCTCACCCCCTGCACACAAATGCCTTCTGAAGCCAAGTGTGCACACAGATAAAGGTAAATCACTCTAGGCTCCATCTTCCCGCCATGACAGAGCTCTGCACCGTGCCTGGGAACAAGGAGGGGGAAGGGGAGCCCTTCAAGGAGCTGGTCGTTGCTCCTGGATCTTGCGCTGCTTACCAGCATCAGAGCAGCTGAGAAGCTGATCTAACTTATTTGACTGGTGTAAAATCTGCAAAGTCCCTTACTGCCAATGGAGAATTGGCAGAGTGGAGCTCCACCCCACCTACACTGGGAGCGGGGCAGCTGGTGCAGGAGCCAGTGCAGCCAGCCTCACACCAGCAGAGTGTTCTCCTACACAAGCGGATTCTCAGTTAGCCGTTTGGGGCCAGAATCCACTCATCTGGCACTGCCTGAGGGGGATAAAGCGAACAGAGCAGACTGGAGAATACAGACAGTGGCTTTAACCACTTTGCTTTTGTCTAACTTTCTAGGGGTGGAGGGCAAAGCATTGCTCCAGTCACTGCCCAGGGTGCCAGACGTACTGGTTTAGTTTTATATTTTATTAAGATGTCTAGAGATCTTTGGACACTGGCTGCTGATAAATTCAATAGCGTATTTACTATGAGAGCTTTTGTAATGACTGTCATTGGATTGAAGCTGGGACCTCCGGAACTAAAGCATGAGTGGGCAGGGGGCTCGGGGAGGGGAAGGTGCTGATCCGCGGGGCCATTAGTGCATGCTGAGCACCCACTATTTTTCCCCCATGGGTGCTCCAGACCCGGAGCATCCACGGAATTAGCACCTATGTCAACAGGGATTGAACCTTGGCAGGTCCAGAACTAAGAGCATAAGTCTCCTCATCTTGAGCTACAGGACTAAGTTCTCAAGCTACTAGCTGTAGCAGACCCACCTCTGTTGTAGATTAGGCATGGAGGTGGATATTTAACACACACTGAGTGGCAGGTTACACTGTAGTACCTTGCTTTGCCTCTCAGTATTAGGGAACGACAGTGCCCTTCTCGAAGCCTCCTGAGCAGCTGAGATGAGACACGCAAAGGGCTGAAGAGTTGGACCTACCAGAGAGTTTGCTGGTTCTAGCTTTGAGTTTGTGAGGCAGGCCGACGTCCAGCACCATCTGCTGCATCTCCTCTTTCACCTTTTCTTCTGACAGCCCTTTCAGACGTGCGTAGAACCAGATGTGCTCTTCCACAGTCAGCCTAAGGGGTAGGGAGCAGAACCAGCAAGGCACTTTGGCTCAGTCAGGTTCAGACTCATCCCATGAACCGTTTTTTAATTAGTTACAAAACCCATTCTTATTTAGGCAGGAAAATATTGTACAGGGATAAGATTTTTGGAAGTGACTAATGATTTGGGGGACTCAACCTGGGACACCTTAGAAGGGCCTGATTTCCAGAGGGTAGGTGCTCAGTGCAATCTGAAAATCAGGCCATATTAAGGTGCCTCAGGTTGGACTCCCAAACACTGAGGTGCCCCAAATCATTAGTCACGTTGGAAAATTTTAGCCTTTCTTTTTTAATGGAAGGAACAGTTTTCTAAAAGAAAAACTGGGAAAATGGTCTCGATGGATGTGCAAGGCACTGCTGATAGACCCCAGATACATCGAACAATAAAACAGAACCTACTTCTGTCCAGCTACAGATTCTGAACACCTCCATCACTGAGCTATCCCAGACCACATATACAACTCGGAACAGCACCTCCTGGGTGGGAAGTAACCCCTAGTAGAAGCCACTATTTGCTGGTTTGAGCCCATGAGGTGCAATGTCTCCCATGTGACATCAACGACCCTCAGCTTCCATTGAATATTATGTTCCAGATCCGCAGCTGGTGTAACCAATCCACCCACTTCAATTGAGCTATGCTGAATTACACCACTGAGCAGGTAGCCAAATATGGTGCATTTTAAAATCCTGATTCTTGGTTCATTCCCATTTACCACTATATTGATACTACTTCAACACTACTTCATCGTTCAACTGCCTTTAAACAGCAGCCTTTATACCCCTTGCAAAATGATATGCCAGTTACATCTACTTCTGTATGCACATTCGCTAACCACTGGCCCATGGAGTTACTCTGGATTTACACAAGCAAGAGAGAGACCAGAAGTGGGCCTAGAGCCATAGAGGGTGGTAATGTCAGAAAATGAGAAAAGGAATCCACTGTAATTTTAAATAAACACACACACATTTTTGTGTTGTATTACAGACCCCATCATTGTGCTTCCTGGCTGCTACTCACAAGTCAAAGAGGACATTGTGCTGGGGACAGACGCCCAAGTTCTGCCTGATGGTGCTGAGCTCGGAGCGGATATCTTTGCCCAGGATGAAGGCTGTGCCCGAGGTCGGAGGAAATAAACCAGTTAAGATGGACCTGAATGACAAATGCAGTAAATGGTAAGTGAGCTCCAAAATGTCACAGCACAATCCAAATCAAGAGGGGGCTTGTTCCACATGCACTAGGGAATGAAAGGACAATGGCTAGGATAGAGTCTTGCTGATATCCCACATCACATGATTATTCCCCAAAGGAAAACAATCAGAGAAACATCTCGCATGTGAGCTCAGTTTTAATGGGAGCTGGACAGAACCACATGCTCTCAGTTCTGCAAGAGAAAAATACCCTCCACACTCCCTAAAAGCTTTTAATGCTTTCAGAATTCATTTCCTTATTCTGATAAAGCAGGGTCACAAAGTGGGTTATTAAAAAGTGTTGCTGACATTGTACCAAGTCAGCCATAGTCCTGATCTGGAACTGTGACAATTCACTGGCATCAAAATGTTCCATTCCCCAATATCGGTGTGTTTCATGGGCCAGATTCTCAGAAGATGTAAATCAGCAGAGCTCTACTGAAGTCAGCGGAGATACACTGATTTACACCTGCTGAGTCTCCGGCCTTGCAAATTTAATCTATACATCTATCCACATGCATATATTACATTGTCGTGTTTAGACAAAACACTAGGTTTCAGAGCCACTCTAACAAGCGTGCCTTCCCTACCCTTAAAAATATTGTCCTTACATGGTTGTGGTTTTCCCAGCTCCATTATGTCCCAGAAAGGATGTGATCTGCCCTTCAAAGAAATTAAGTGTGAGCCCATCCACAGCAACCTTCTTGCCATCACGATAAATCTTCACCAGGTTCTGAATGGAGACCCCCAGGCTTAGATGAATGGGTTCCTCCTCCATGCAGTCTGCGAGAAGAAAAAGTAATCAGCAAGGCAGCGTAGAACAGACACACCACCAATAAATATTAACACACATCTTTCCATGGCCAATGAGAACCCACGGTGAAGTGGGGCATCTAGGAAGATTCCTGATCTCCCTTCCTGGGTGTTATCCCTCCATGGAGGTTCACTTTAGCTTGGCACTAATCAGTTCTTTGGAGGCCAGTTGTAAGGCCCTGATCCAATGCCCCCATGTCAGAGAGGACCCAGTCCTGTGAGATACTGAGCACCCTCCACTGAAATCAGCGGAAGTGGAGGGAATGCCACAGCTCACAGATTCATGCCTCAATGCCAAAGGAGAGCCCAATCCTGCCTGCCTTATTTGGGCAAGATTTCCAGCGATATATGTGGGAGTTTTATTGGAATAAGGACTGCACAATCACGCGCACATTCTGTTCATTATCAGGGGAATGAATAGCGAGTAGGACAGGAGCAGCTTTAATTCCATGATGCTAAATTCCAACATCCTTTCACGCAGTCCTTACCCTGGGTAAGTCCCCAACTTCGTTCATTTAAACCTAAGCGCCTGCCTTCTGGCCCAGCGTGGGTCAGACACTTACGCTCCGACGGCCCTTTGTGATCAGAGTGAGCATGCCGCCTCTCCTCAGATTCCTCGCCGAACCAGTAAGTCTTTGTAAAGGGGAAGTACCAGGGCCTGGGAATTCCATACTGGCCTAAACGGGGAGGAAAGCATTCACGTGAGCCCAGCAAAATCCACCATAACGTCTCGATGTTTAAAAGCAGAGGGCAAGTACTGACACATCGTATCTCCAGCTGTCGGGCCTTGGAGACCAGCAGCACATATAGGTGAAAATCCCCCTTCTAGGATGGAAATTGGCGACAGATTGAGAGAGAGATTTTAGCCAGGTGGGGAATATTAGATGATTTCAAAACGTTACAACCAATCTTCCCAAACCCCACTTTACTCTAATAGTTAAATGCCCGATACCTGGGAGGTGCTAACCACCCTGTGACAGGTACCAAGTGCCCTCAACTCCTGGCAAAGCCAATGGGAACTGAAGAGGCTGAGAATCTCATAGGAGGTGCTAGCACCTGGCTGGACTGAGGCTAGGTTCTCTGTATTCGAGGGCACTTGGAAATTGTCCAGGAGTTTGATCAGCGGCTTCGATGTGCGGGGTTGCCCCCTTCCCCCTTCTGTAACATGTGCTGCCTGGAATGTGAAATGCTCTCGATGAATGGGCAGGAATACGCAGGACCCACAAAGAGCAGGACACCACGTCTCTAGGCAATAGTAAAGGCTCACCTGGGAAGACAGACTCAATGTACCAGGTCATAACCCCATAGAGGAAGGTATCAAACAACATCATGAACGCAGATATGGTGAGGTTGAAGCCATCTTCTTCCAGGGGGCTTTCAAAGAGGTTGTCCCACTGCACGCCAACCCCCTGCTCCTCAAACAATGCAAAGTACTCGCAGCCAAACCCAAAGGCGACCGGGGACAGCAGGCTCTAGGAGAGCAAGATGTTCACACTCTTGAGACCATTCACAAACTCATCTCTTCATCTTTAAAAATAAACGGAGAGGGGCTGCTCAGCCCTCATGCTAGTGTCATGACTCAAAACACAAAGGGTGGAATCTGGGCCCTACTGAAGTCAGGTGGGGCCAGGGTTTTCACTGAGGGCTCTGCAAGCTCCCATTGCCTAGTTTTGTGCTTGCATAGCCATCCTGAGTTTGAAAGCTTGACTCCCACTCAAACGTGACGGGGTTTGTGTTGCTCTTATAAGAGACTGAAACAAGGAGCAGAGGTAGAGCGAATAATGCAGTAGAATAACTGTGTGTGTGTGTACAAATAAGTAAAATGAGGGGATTCTCTACCCCTAGTAACCAGAAAGGACTTTCCTTTAGCTGCAGAAACATGTTGTCCTTGTTTGTTTTTATTGAGTCACCCTAGGAAGAAAACCCAGGTTTAAATTACCGGGGGGCGATTGCAAACTCAAAATAGTGCTGCAACCACCCCAAAAGTAAAACCAGAACAGGCACCCTGGGTCAGACCAATGGTCCATCTAGCCCAGCATCCTGTCTTCCGACAGGGGCCACCACCAGATGCTTCGGAGGGAGTGAACAGAACAGGGCAATCATTGAGCGATCCATCCCCTGTCATCTACTCCCAGCTTCTGGCAGTTTGAGGCTAGGGACCACCTGGCATGGGGTTGTGTCCCTGACTATCTTGGCTAATAACCATTGATGGACCTATCCTCCATGAACTTATCTAATTGTTCTTTGAACCCCATTATAGTTTTAGTCTTCACAACATCCCTGCAACAAATTCCACAGGTTTACTGTGTGTTATGTGTAATAGTACTTCCTTTTGTTTGTTTTAAACTTGCTGCCTTTTAATTTCATTGTGTGATACCTGGGTTCCTGTGTTACGTGAAGGGGTGAATAACACTTCCTTATTCACTTTCTCCACACCATCACAATTTTATAGACCTCTGTCATATCCCCCCTTAGTCGTCTCTTTTTCAAGCTGAAAGTCCCAGTTTTTTTAATCTTTCCCCATACAGAAGCTGGTCCATAACAATGATTTTGTTGCCCTTCTCTGTATGTTTTGCAGTTCTAATCGATCTTTTTTGTGATGGTGTGACCACAACTGCACCCAGTATTCAAGGTGTGAGCATACCATGGATTTAAATAGTGGCATTATGATATTTACTGTCTTATTACTGTCCCTTTCCTAGTGGTTCCTAACATTCTGTGCGCTTTCTAGACTGCTGCTGCACATTGAGTAGTTGTTTTCAGAGAACTATCCACAATGACTCCCAGATCTCTTTCTTGAGTGGTAACAGCTAATTTAGACCCCATCATTTTGTATGTATAGTTGGGATTATGCTTTCCAATGTACATTACTTTGCACTTATAAATATTCAATTTCATCTGCCATTTTGTTGCCCGATCACCCAGTTTAATGAGATCCCTTTATAAGTCCTTGCAGTAGCTTTGGACTTAACTATCCTGTGTAATTTTGTATCATCTGCAAATTTTGCCACTTCACTGTTCACCCCTTTTTCCAGATCATTTATGAGTATGTTGAACAGCACTAGTCCCAATACAGATCCCTGGAGGAACCCGCTATTTACCTCTCTCCATTCTGAAAACTGACCATTTAGTCCTACTTTTTGTTTTCTTGTCTTTTAACCAGTTAGTGATCTGTGAGATGACCTTCCTTCTTTCCCATGACTGCTTACTTTGCATAAGAGCCTTTGGTGAGGTACCTTATCAAAGGCTTTCTGAAAGCCCAAGTACACTATATCCACTGGATTGCTGTTGTCCAGAGGTTTGTTGACCCCTCAAAGAATTCTAATGGTTTGGTAAGGGATAATTTCCCTTTACAAAAGCCATATTGACTCTTTCCTAACAAATCATGTTCATCTATGTGTCCAATAATTCTGTTCTTTACTACAGTTTCAACCAATTTGCCTGGTACTGACGTTAGGCTTACCGGCCTGTAATTGCCAGGATTGCCTCTGGACCCTTTTTAAAAAATTGGTGTCACATTAATTATCCTCCAATCATCTGGTACAGAAGCTGATTTAAGTGATAGGTCACATGCCACAGTTAGTAGTTCTGCAATTTCATATTTGAGTTCCTTCAGAACTCTTGGGTGAATCCCATCTGGTCCTGGTGACTTATTATTGTTTAATTTATCAATTTTTTCCAAAACCGCCTCCACAGATACCTCCATCTGGGAAAGTTCCTCAAATTTGTTACCTAAAAAGAAGAGCTCAGGTGTGGGACTCTCCCTCACACCCTCTGCAGTGAAGACCAATTGAAAGAATTCATTGAGCTTCTCCACAACGGTCTTATCTTCCTTGAGTGCCCCTTTAGCACCTCAGTCGTCCAGTGGCCCCACTGGTTGTTTAGCAGGCTTCCTGCTCCTGATGTACTTAAACATTTTTTGGCTGTTAGTTTCTGAGTCTTTTGCTAGTTGCTCCTCCGATTCTCTTTTGGCCTGCCTACTTATCCTTTCACACTTCATTTGCTAGTTTATGCACTATTGTCCTCAGTAGGATTTGACTTCCCATTTTTAAAGGATGCTTTTTTGCCTCTAACCGATTCTTTTACTTTGCTGTTTAGCCATTGTGGCACAGGTTTAGTCCTTGTACTAGCCTGAGTAGTTCTCAAAATTGCAGTCTGCATGATGGGCACCCATCCCTATCTGCACTGGGATCACTGAAGTGTTCAGAGAGTGACAGATTTTACGGCCAGAAGTGACCATCATGATCATCTAGTCTGAGCTCCCGCATAACACGATCCATGGAATTTCACCCAGTGCTCCTGGCCCTGAGCCCAAGGTTTGAACACTATGCTGTTATGTGGCTAGGCAGTGCCCCAATGGGAGTTCTTCATGCTGCTATGCTGAAGACAGGTTTGGTTTGTTTCCCCCTCCTTTTGCTCCCCAGATGACTAGACCGCAGTATGGAGGAAGGGAGGGAGTGTTGTATGCAGCCACCCCCCAGCGAGTTAAGGAATGCTGTGGAGAATCTCTAAAGGGAGGCTGATCCAGTTCCTCTCAGATGGACAGGCCTCTAGGGGAGAACAGCTTAAGGGTCTGATCCTGTCACAAATGGGCAATACGACATGAACTTCAGAGGGCAGCATCAGGCCTCACAGCATCAGATGGGGGAATCTCAGTACTCCCTGAAGAGCATGCCCAGAGATCCCTTCCCCACTCCCAGGCTCTCTGATCACTATCAAACCCAGAAGTTTTTAATTGGTGCCAGCTCTGATGGCCCTTTGCCCTGGGTACAGTGGAAAACAATGGCCTCTTGCACACCCAAACCCCACATGCTAAAGAGCCACCGAGCGCTTTGCTGGCCATGGTATAATATTCAATACAGCTCCTCTGTGCCAAGCCCGCCGTGACTCACCGCAAACATTTTCAGGGAGAAGCTCACGTAGTCCTGCCAGGCGACGCACAGCACGTAGGGCAGGTAGAGGGTGAAATAGATGATCCCCCCACAGGCTGTTGCCAGGTTGGCCCTGGAGAACATGGTGCTGATGAGGAAGCACTGCAAGATGGTCACCACGGCAAAGACGGAGAGGAAGACAAACACCACACTGGGGTCGCTATAGGGCAGCAGGTTTCCCATCTGGGCAAGGAGGAGATACATGTGTCACAAGGCAAACAGGGCTCACTGAGACGCAATCTACAGGGCCCACTTGCAGAATCGCTATTCAGAACAGAACTACCCTTTAACTGCTTTAGCTGCCCCGTCCTGTAAGCAGGAGGGATTGTGCCAGGGCCAGAGTGCATTTTGCCCTAGGCATGGTACTCTGCACGCTGAGGTGCACTGAACAATTACTGAAGCACCTCTATTGTTTGAAATCAGTGGTTCTCATCACGTCATCTCCATATTTGCCTAGTTTTACAGCAGGCTCCATGAGAAGCACTAGCAAAGGCAGCAAAAACTAAAATTCCACACGGACAGTGACGTGTTTACACTGCGCTACGTACGGCACACTGAAAGGTAAGGACAATCTTTATATTCCCATTGATCCATTTTATAATGATACGGTAAAAATGAGAGAGTCAGCCCTTTGTCAGTAATAGCGTGCTGTGACACTTCTGTATGTTTATGTCTGATTTTGTAAGCAAGTCGTTGTTAAGTGAGGAGTAACTTGGGGTCACACAAGACAAATCCGACTCTTTAAAGGGGTACAGTCGTCTGGAGAGGTTGAGTGCCACTGTTTTAAATCACTCAGCCTCGTTTTGGAACCAAGAGCCCCTGCCCAGTGAGTCACTGCCTGATCCAAGTTCCTAGAAGATTAATTAACCCCAGATCATTCGTTACCAGGCTGACTGTCAGCAGGGCCCTGCATTAAGCTGCCCCACAGGAAATCAACACTGCTGAGGCGGGGAGAGAGAGAGAGAGGGAGATGGTGCCAGCCTCACCTTCAGGATCAGCACCAGAAGCCCAGCGCTCATGAGGAGGGGGATGAGGCTGCTGATGAACCAGCTGAACCAGAGGGTGCCATTGTCCAGGCCCATGATTCTCATGGTCTCCTTCAGCCGGGCTTCCTTCTCGTACACAATCCCCTTGATTATTACAGCCACCGAGTAGATCCAGGCCAGAGTCATGAAGAGGGGCATGGAACGGCCCATGACACGCAGGAATCTGGTGGCGGGAAGGAAAGAGACGGGAAAGATTGCGGCGGTTATTTACTTTAGAGAGCGTCACCAAGGGCTGCCAGGTACCCTACAGGCGCGGAGAACGAGGATCACAATCGTGCCTTGAGGTCCCTGTCGGGGCCAGGGCTCCATTGTGCAAAGTGAAGCATGCACACAGGGCCAGGGCCTCACCTGGTACAAATCGGTGTAGCTCTCCAGAAGTCACTGGGGGAGGGGGCGACTCACAATGCGGTGCTGCTGCTCTGTTAGCAGGGCAATGCTTGACGACCTTTCTAGACTAGTCCCTGGCCACTTCCGGGCCAGCCTGCAGCTGCACAAGCCTGGGTGGAGGAGAGGGCCCAGGGACCAAGCACAGCTACATTTCCTGCCCCCCCACTGCTGACCCCTGCCTCTCCCGCTGAGGCCTGGCCAGACACCGAGAGGGAGTGACACAGCACTGTCCTGATAATGCACTCTCCCATCCCCACACTCTGCAGTTGGGAGGCACCATCCTCCACAGAGCTCTCCTGGGGCAGGGCCTCCTTGCGCAGCCCCCTCAGGAGCCATCATGGAGCCAGAAACCCTTTGGGTACCTGCACAGAGCAATACACCCAATCCCACATTAAGGAGCCCTGTTCATGCACCAGCAGAGGAATGCACAGGTACCACTAGACCAAATCAGTGGGGTAAAAGAAGGCCCAACCCTGCCCCTGTCAAAGCCAGTGGCCACAGTCCCAGTGACTCAGGATCAGACATGGATCCTGCTACCTGGTCGACCTACTTCATAACTTACATATCATCCACGTAACAGGGGTAGGGCATCTGCTGTACATAGACACCAGTCTTCTTCTCCGTGCCAGTCAGCGCCCTGATGATCGCCTGCTCCACAACATCCTGCAAGTACACGAAGCCGCCCCAGACATACCGCATGTCTTCAAAGGGGTCAGCACGAGGACCAGGGTCCCAGTACCTAAACCAAGGGAACAAAGGTCACCTGTTAGAAATCCTTACCAGGCCTAGAGTCTCCCAACGCCTCTCTTGAGAAGGCAGCCGGGCAGCACTCACCCATCCTTAATCTTGTTTGTCCTTTCCACATTGTCTATGTCCATCCGTATCTTGTACTTGATGTGAGGAGGCAGCTCTGCACTGTTCGGGGAGATTTCAGGGAAGACAATGCCAGCCCAGAACCTCCTCTCATCCAGGAGCTCCATGGACCTGTTTATGAGCCGCACTTCTGTGGCCACGGGCTCCAGTTTGTCCAGGTTGACACACTAAATGGAGACAGATTTGTAAGTCCATGGGCAGAGTTTATTACATAGGGTTATATGTTGGTAGCTACAGTTATAGAACACATTCAAGCCTTTGAAACAAGAGGGACCCTGAGATGCTAACACCTTCGCCTAAAAGATGGGGCAAAGCTACACGGTGCTGGAACACCCAGTCATTCATTTAGAGAGGTTGAATCCAGTGAGTTCAATACAGCCTAGAGCTTTAAAACCGCTGCAGTTTCTCCTGCAGTCACTATATAATACCAGATGCAGAAAAACAAGCATCCAGGGCACTGATGAGACCAGCCATCACCAGCTGCCCATAATGTTGGGGCAGGACCGTCACTGGAAACCACACGGAACATGCAAGATAAGATTTTTTCAAAGATGATGGCCCAAAGTTAGGCTCTTCTGTCTGTATTTTGGCACCTAAGTGAGCAGCCTGAGTTTCAGAAGTGCTGAACGCCCAGCAGCTCCCAGTGAGGCTAGGATACTTACTTAGATGCCTAAAGGTGGGCCATGACACTGCAAACCCAGACACCAAACTACCACCTATAAGCGTTGAGCTTTTTACAGTATGACTCTCCTAGACCCCTTGCAGAGACCGTGGCTTGGTCTTGTACTGGAGGATATGCATGAGCAAAACCTCTCTGCTGTCAAGGGGGAGCACAGACGTTACTTAACAGCAGCAGCAAGCTTGCGTGTGGGCTCACCTCCATGAAGCGGGAGATGGTTTGGACAGCCTGGTCAGTCTCATTGAAGGCATCCATCCAGGTGTATGTGGAGCCATTCACTGGCTGAACGTCCTCTGGGGACTTTGCCAAGAACAGGGAAACATCTTGAACCGTCCAGTTTGAGCCGCTCAAGTGAGTGTCCCAGAGGCCTTCGCTCTTCAGCAGCGTCTGCAATTATGGTGTCAAGGGGAAATAATGACCGTTAGGCTCAGTTTTGGATCCCCCCCAGCAAGGCAGAGATTGTACCAAGCTACCATGACTCTTTCCCCTTGGACCTGGAAGTCCAGCTCCGGACAACGACTGAGAATGGAGAGTTTCCTGAGCACATAAATGCTCCTCAGCATGCCCTGTTGCTAATTCTGCCAAAGCCCGGGACTTCCATCAGAGAAGCCCAGGTTCCCGGCGTGCAGCATCACAGTGACTGCAGTGTGACAAAATGAAAATCCCCAGGGGACAATAACATTCAGGGGAGACACAAAATTGGTAGTATCAAATGGGGTGCCCAAGTTGCCTGATCCAGGGGCCTCGTTTGGCAGCTTGCTAGAAGACCGAAGGCTACTCCCAGTTCACAGGACAATAAACAAGTTGCAGCTACTCTTAGAGAACACAAATCCCAGCACAGATTGGCCACTCACATCATGGTCTAGCTATTTGGTAAAGGCAACATGGTCTGGTGCGTAGGCCACAGGACCGGGATTCTAATCCCTGTTCTGCCACTGGCCTACTGTGTGACTTTGGGCAAGTCACTTCATCGTTCTGTGCCCCACACTTCGTCTGTCCTGTGCATTTAAACTGTGCAGGGCAGGGACTATCTCTCACAATGAGTGTGCACGGGTCCTACCACAGTGGCATCATGATCTTAGCCTAGGCTGAACTGTAATACAAATAGGAATCTCCAGATCTATCTAAATCCCTCTATCTGAGGAATTCACAGAGTGCCCAACAGCGTATGTCCTGCCTTGCAGGCTGAGAGGTGACTCTGGACTGCTCTCTCTACTGCAGGTGGAGGGCAGCAGAGAACCACACACTTTGGACACTCAGAGCCTGCCCATTGACACAGTAAATACGCTCCCAGCCTCTGATAACAACAACTCTCCAGCAGGTGGCAGCCTTACTCAGGTCTCTGGGAAAGTGGGAAGAGTTACAAAACATTCCCCCCCCAACCAAACAAAAAAGCCATCACTGGAAAGCAGAGAAGCACAAAGAAAACAGGAGATTTTTTCAGCTAATTGGTGGTTGCTGCATGCTACTGACACCTTCCAAACAATTCTTGGCTTTGAGTGGAGATGAAGAGGTGATCGAGTGTAACTGGGAATTCAATTCCCGAGGTGCTAAGCGTAAATATCAATGCAGCAAGGCTGACCCTGCCTCCTCCGGCATGTATTTATTGTAAGTTACAGCACAGTGTTGCTCTGGGAGTTGAGGTTATACAAGGAGGAACTGCTGGCAGAACCATCTGTCTCACAGACAGAGTGGGTCACAATATTAAAGGGAAGGGACATCCCAAATATGCAGGACAAATAATAAAACACTTAATAAAAGAATCTCTGGAGGAGGGCTGTTAGAGGAAGGCTAATCCTGGGGCTAAAGGCACTGAACCGGGAGCCAGGTAACCTGGGTTCAATTCCCACCTGTGCCATAGACCCTGCTGTGATTTTGGGCAAGTCATGTAATCTCGTGACTTAGTTCCCCATCTGTAAACTGGGATTGTATGTCCTTTGTCTGTTTACACTGGAAGTAAGACTGTCTCCTATACAACTCTACCACATGTAACATTACATACCATATAAGGCTCAGTAGAAAAGAGGGAAGCATTCCCTGCAAAGGATATGGCTAAGCAGAAGAACAACAAATCTAAGGAATGGTTATGAACTATACAAATAGGAAACTGACTTTTGAGCATACTTCAGACTAAAGAAAGGTAAAGAATTTAAACCTGAATAGCTGTTTCAGACACACAGACAGTGCAAATGGGCACGAGATTAAAAAAACAACATGGCAAAGCACGAAAAAAGGGAAGAATATGCCAAGCTAGTAAAGGAGAACACAAGAAAGAAAAATAGAAATGGAAAAGGGGTACATTCTCCTGTCCCTTCTGTCTATATTTTGTCTCCTTACCGTCCGCTCATGCAAACACTCCTTACAGCTGCCAGTGGTCTCACACTATTTGTATTCACGTTGTTCATGTTAAAAGCAAACACGCACTGTTCTCTGAGCAAGTCCTTCTGCACCCTTTAAGTCAATGGTGTGTTGTCATATATCCTCACCAGAAGTAGGCTCCAGCCCCAAATGTCAAACACGAGGTAGAAAAACATTTCTCCTTTCGGTGCCCCTTCAGCTACAAGGAGCTTGACATAAACATACAGTGACCTGCAGGGCTGGAACTCGGCATCTAACCACTCAGTAACCCTATAGCCTGCCTGTCTCACAGAAGGCATGTCATTGGGTTTAAACAAACAGCCGTCAAGGTCATTAGGCCAAAGAACTGACCTACCATGACAGTGGCCCCAGCTGGAAGGTCTTGTGTTTTGGCCTGATAAGTATGTAACTGATCCTTGTTCCATCTCTAAATTTAACAGAATGTTGATGCATGACTTTGCCAGATACTCACAATAAAAGGCCCCATGCACACACATTGGGATAGGTGATGGGGAAGGAGTGATGCCTTGAAAACTGAGCTATAATGGAATTTGTTAAAACAAGCAGGAGACTGGAACTCTTTGGAACCTCAGGAAGCCTCTGCTAGAATGGAGACGATTAACAACAGCTCTCTTGGTTCATGGATCTCGCTTCAAAATGCACCACTCACTTTTCTAGGGACATCTGATTGCAAACCAGTATCCAAAGGCTGGCCCTGTGGCAGGGTATGCAGCTCCCTTTATAGTCTCCGGGCCTGATTCTGATCTTACTCAGACCAGCGTAATCAAGAGAAACTCCCATCAAGCCAGCACCACCATTAGAGTGATTAGAGAGTCCTGCCCTCACATTTCCAGGCCCTGGGGCGAATGCAGCGGGGTGGGCCAGAGAATACTTTGCACTTCCGTTCAGTGCGGGAACTGGGAGACAACGCCAGGGCTCCAACAGATATAGGAAGATTACCGCAGTGCAACGACGACATTCTGATGTTTGTCTAGCTTTATTGGGGGGACAGCGGTAACAGCTGTCTCGGACTTGTTCTGAAGGGCCTGATTCATCACTGCGCCCCTCCAGTTTTACATTGGTGTAACTCCCGTGGGGAAGGTGCAGATGGTCTGACTCTGAGTCCACCTGATCAAGGGAGCTATGCCAGCATGTAAGTGCAGTAATGCAGCAGCAGACCAGGCCCCTGATATTTATTTTATATGTTAGGCCTGATTTGCTTCTTGCTTACACGGGTGTAAACCAGGAGTTACGCCGCTGAAGCGAAGGGATTTATAACAAAGGTGGGAGATCATATTCAGACTCACTGCTCCTTCCGGTAAGTCAGCACGCACTGTATGTTATCAAGTGATCGGCCCCTAGGGCAACATTGGCTCTTCCACAAATTTAAGCACACCGTGCAATTCAAAATGAGCCCAATCCTGCCAGATGCCTCACTTCAGCTGAGAGGTGCTGAGCCCCCAATTCCCACTGCACTCAATGGGATCTGAGGGTGCTTGACATCTCCCAGGATCAGTGCTTGGTTTGTGACTGCTTTCTACAAGGTATACCTTATGCTAACACCAAGACAGCAGTTGCCCTGGTACTTACAGACATTTGCTGTGATGAAGGAGAACCCAGCATAGCAAGTTAAATGTGTCAGGAACCCTGCTCTCCAGGTTATACACATGTAATAGTCAGCAGTGAAGAAGAAAGAGCGGATCCCAGGCAAGGCAGATGGAGAGCAGTGGTTAATCATGCTCTGCTTCAGTTCACGGCACTGTGTGACATGATTACAGGGCACTCATATGTCACATCCTGGACTTAAAAATCTCTTGTTCTCAACTCAGACGGGCCAGATCCTCAACTGATGTAAGCTGGTGCAACTCCAGTGAAGTCGGTGGAGCTCTGCTGACTTACACCAGGGGAGGAACTGACGCAGCTGTGTCTAGTGCGTTATTCAGTTCCCATTTCACGCACACACAGTTTCAGACAAGACTAAAACCTTCCTTCTCGAATCATGCTGTAGCATTGCACTGGCAGTAGCTACCATGCAGGAGAACTTGTCTCCAGGAATGACCCCTTAGTGCTGAGCATACCAGCTCAGGACTGAAGTGCCAGTCACATCCCCAAAATAAAAACTTTAGCTCACTCCTTGTATGCAAGGCTCTTGTGGCTTTGGCAAGGACAAAGTTATCCAAGAAATTTAAGGTATGTCTACACTGCAATCAACCCCCCCTGGCTGGCCCATGCCAGCTGGCTCGGGGCCAGGCTGAGGGGCTGTTTACTTGCAGTGTAGACTCGGGTGCTCTGGGACACTCCTACCTCACAGGGTCCTAGAGCCCAAGCACCGGCATGAGCCAGATTGTCTACACCACAAATGAACAGTCCCTTAGAATGAGCCCTTAGCCTGAGTCAGCTAGCACGGGCCAGCCGCAGGGGTTTAATTACAGTGCAGACATACCCACAGTGACAGCATACTGACCCGGATCAGATCCATTTCCTGGCTGCTTTCCATGAATGTCCAAATCTTCGGGCCTATGTCCTCCCACATCCCTCCTAGGTCCCGGAACACGCCCAGCTCCTGGAAAGTCCTGTTCACCTGCCAGCAAAGGGGAAGGATTATTCCAAAATTTCAGCATTGCAGGTCTGAGCAGCAGCAGGTCAGGTGGGCAGAGTGCAAGTCTAGGCACTGTGCTGCCCAAGTTTTATTGGTAATGTGGTAGCTACAGCAAGGAGAAAAATCACACGTTTGAAAAGAAATAGATCACAATCTAGTACATTTGTGTGCCCAGGATCTCAATGCCTTTGTAGGCCACTTTGAAGGGCTGAATTATGGCTGGCTCTTTCATGGGTGTGCATGGGGAGCAGCGTACAAAAAGCCTGCGCCTCCCACTCTCACTTTTCATGTCAGGGCCATTCAGGAAAGCACTAGGACTGCTGCTTCCCACCGCTCCCAGAAGTGAGTATCTCCCCAAAGGAGGTGGGAAGGAGACGCAGCCTGGGTATGCCCCAGCCACCCCTCCTGTCTTCCAGCCCCCTCTTCTCTGTGAAGCTTCAGCAGAGAACAATCACCTTTCTACTTGAGCTGGTTAAACCAACAGTAGGGCCAAATTAAACCATCTCCGTAGAACAAAGCTGTGAACTGCAAAAATGGGTCGGGCCCCATCTCTTCTGTGCTGCTTACATGCGGGACAGGGTTCCATAGCCTACCTCAGCCATGACCCTCCTCGTGACCGGGGTGTCAGGAGTGTACAGGATCTTCCCAATAAGCAAAGGCTTCAGAGCCCTCCAAATAATTCGGGAAAGTGGACTGGATTCAAGATTCTTCAGCAGCTCATTGCAATAGGGTGCTAAACAGGGAGAGAACGTGCATGAGCTAAGCTAGAGACACGGTATCGAACAACTCAAAGGCACTTACTCATGGGCAAGCATGTCACACACGTGTGCATTTTAAAACCAGAAATATCTGAGCCAAGAGGGTTGGAGTTATCACCCTGAGCTGCACAGGACCAACGGGATCTGGAGTTCTGAAAGTGACAAAGGGACATCTGCATAACATCCACCATGAAAACCAGGCACCGTGCAAAGCGTGCGTTGCTCACTGATCACAAAGCGCAGTTCAATCAAAAGAGCACATCAAAGGCCCAATTTTCAAAGGCTCAGTAGCCAGATCTGCAGCAGAGCTCAGCACCCCATGTGCACCCACAGGGCAGAGCACTTTGCAAATCTAACACATGGTAGCACACACAAGGCCTAACCCAAAGTCTAGATTAGTCAGTGGGAGTCTTCAGTGGGTTCCGTGTCAGGTCCTTACACTGCCATTATAAGAACCTCTCACATCATATGGAACGGTCTCCGCTAGCCTATCGTGCAGTATAATCATGTAAATACACACAGGCCTTGAGTCATTATCTGGCTATCCTGTCAGCCTGTGGGACAGTCAAGAGGAAGCGGAGGCCTCTCACTAGTCACACACTCGTAATGTGAACAGGCACGTTGGCCAGGACTGGGTCTCACTTACTTGTAGAATTATCATAGAAATTCGCTGCATCCTCCTCGGTGCTGTTGCCTCCAAACAGGGCTTTGTAGTTGTTGTCCTCGTACCAGTTGAGAGATTTGATTTTCAACCCTCCTCCCTCTGGATGGCCACACACGATCCGCGACACCGCCTGGTAGATCTGGGTGGAGGAGCTTGTGGAGTTCACATTGGTCAGAAATATCACCTCCTGCCTCATGTCACTCCAGCTCTTCATGCTCACCAGCTGCAATGCACAGGGACAAAGGGCTTATTTATTTCACTTGCATGGAGCAGATATTTTTATATCAAAGCATCTGTCTCCACGAATACCTCATTAATTTAATAAACCATCCACGTGAAACAGACCTTGGAAAATCAATGCAGGGGACCTTGCACTCAGGAAATGTCCCATGTATGCAGTAGGGGCCTGGCTTCTGTTACGCCATCTCCTTTATTCTGCGTTTTTCAATGACTCGCAGAGAAAATCCCTAGCTCCTGCCCTCACGTGAACTCCACCCTTCTCAGGGCTTCACCCCATTCACATTCCAGCAGGACCCCCTCATTCAGGCGACAGAATGTGGGGGGGAGGGGGGGAAGTGAGCCAGAAGGAGAGGCAGGGAAATAATAAACAGTGAGTCAAACTAATCAGATGCAGCTTTGCAACATTCAGAGGCTGAGAGACAGGGCCCAGTTCTCTGCTGGTGTAAACTGGCATAGCTCCACTGATGTCAATGGGCTTGTGCCCATTTACACTGGCCCGTGAGCTCAGATATCACTTTCCTCCCACCCTCCCTTTATCAGGGGCATTCCCAGAAAATCCTTGATGGCCGTGAGGCAAGTCCAGCTGCAGCCAAACTTCGGGGTCACAACAGGGATCTTCATTGCCTCCGCAACCATAAAGCCAGCCAAACATCACAGGGCACTTCCCTTGGCATCTTCCCTAACACAAGGGGCAGGGGCATTAACACTACAGGTTGGTTAGGAAGAGTCTATCCTCCACCAGAAACAGAATCCCCGTCACTCTGACATAAGCACCCGTGTCCGCTCACTTACAAATGATGTGAATAAAAACACCACAGGACTGGCCTATGACACTACAGTAACATACTGTGCTTTAAGAGAGAAGGCCAGACACCCAGAGTGTGTAAAATGGCATGTCTCCACGGATGTCCATTTATACCAGCTCACAATCTAGCCTGTAATGCTTCGGACCATTATTTTCAGAGCTGCCGCCCCATTGACTTCAACTGGAGCTGTGCACGATCAACACCTTTGGAAAATATCAGGCCACCTTAACTAGAGGTGTCGCTATATTCGCCACCTATTGTAACAACAACAAGGCACATTTGTATTGGTAACCTGAACTGCTTCCTTGTCCATGTGTAGAAGGGCGTTCTGAAATCGAGCAGAAAGAAACTAAATTACACAGTACCAAGAAGTGCTGTGGTAGCAGGGTTGGTCCCAGGATATGAGAGACACAAGGTGGGCAAGGTAATATCTTTTACTGGACTCTGATGGTCTGAGACAAGCTTTTGAGTTACACAGAGGAGCCTGAAGAAGAGCTCTGTGTAGCTCGAAGGCACTTCTCTTTCACCAACAGACAATGATCCAGTAAAAGATACTGCCTCACCCACCCTGTCTCTATAATAGCTAGAAGGCACTACAGTATTGCTACCAAAATGTCCCTCACCCACATCCCCAGACCTATAAACGTGCAGCTGCTCTCATGTTCTGCATTGCTAGCCAGTATGCTACCCTGGTACCTACATGGTCAGGTCAATTTGAAATCTGAACCAATGAGCTGTAGTCCATCACTTTATTTCCATGGACGGTGACACAAAATCAATCAGAGTATAGCTGGCCTGCTGGTTCTGATGTACTATGTCTCTTGATTTTGACAGTCAAAAATGACAAAGCCCTGGAACAGAGCAAACCAAATTCACCCAGGAGGTTACACCACTGAAGTTGGTGGAGTTACACTGGGGATGAGCTTGGCCCGCTGAGTTTATTCCCAGAATTGTGGATGTTTTAAATATGTTCCAATGACTTGGCAAAAATTCAGCTGATGCTGATCAAGAGCCACTCCCATGTCACACACAAGAAGTCTGTTTATTTTTAGAAAAATACACACATCACATCGATATGATGGGAGACAGATGAGACAAGCAAAACCTTGGGGTTTGCTCCATATTTGCCTAATGTTAATGCCTGAGGCATATTTTAAAATTTCTCCACTACATCCCACCCCACCAGATCTGGTGTCATTGTGCACAGCACAGCTTGGAGGAGGCAGACACCATGCGATACAGTGGAAATAACCTTAGGTATACATCAGTTATTTTAGGTTTCAAAATGGCTAACTTTAATTTTGCTCTGGTTGACTCTTAAAAATAAAAATTTGACAAATATGGCCAAGATTTTCAAAAGAGACTCGTGATTTTCAGTGCCCACTCAAAGATCTCATCTACACTACAAAATTCATCCATTCCACTAAGCTAGTTAAAGCAGTATGATTCACTTCCCCCAGCATCCCTAATGTGGACACAGGTATATCCGTATAAAGGTGCTTTATACCTGCTATTCTCATATGCAAAGGAGAATAACTATATACCAGTATAAATGTATTCACAACAGGGCTTTCACCGGTATAACTATATTGGTTAAAAAACAAAATCACCCGCCTAACTGACAGTTATACCTGTTCAACTTCCAACCTTAGGCTATGAGTTAGGCCAGGCCTAAACAACAGATTTTAGCAGCTCCACTATGTTGAGTTGAGGGTGTAATGAGGTGAGATCTGTGACGGCTAGAAGCCTCTAGTGTAGATGCAGCTATACTTGTAAGCCTGTGCTTTTCCAAGTGTAGCTTGTTTTGCTCTGGGGGGCTGGAATAAGCTCTACTGGCCAAAGCACAGCTTTGCCTGTGTGAGTCATGTCCACACTAGGAGCTCTGTGCCAACGTAGCATACTGGGCTAGCTATAGCGGTAAAGCCCAGTGTAGACCTGGCCTTCGAGAAGGGCCTGGTTTTCTGAAAGTTCTGGGCACCCATTCTCTGAAATCAGACTGCTTTGGCTTGAGCTGGACATCCCAAACCCACTAGTCACTTCTGAATATCTTGGACATACACATCCACAGGGGTATATTGATCAAGCAGTCTGGGATGACTCATTTTATACCACTGATTGATAAAGAGATTAGATGAATAAAACAGACAGACTAGATTAGGCTGAGTAGTAATGCTGGCAGTTCGAGTCTCATTTACTCTACTCTTTATAGCTCCTTATATAGTTTGTATTTCCTTTCTACATGTCTCCTGTCTCTAATTTCTGATAAAACCACAGTGGGCAAACTCCAGAACACTTGAGAGCTACTCCCCGCTTTGGCCTGGGGACGTACAGAAAACACGCTGTGAGGGTCACAAACCCTGGATCCCAATATGCCACTGCCCGAGCAGAGTAACCAATAGGCCTCTGTTAAGCACTGGAGACGCCTGAAGGCATAACAGGTAAGAAGCTGGCTGTTGGGTATCACCTATCATTAAGGTTTCAGATGCATATGGCTAGCTGACTGCTGCACTGCATTCAACATTGAAGGCTACATTGCAATAGCAGTAAGGGATGGTTCTAATCTCAAGAAAGCCGCAATGCATATCCCACATCACAGAGCAGGATCGAGTTGAAAATATTTTACTGAAAGCAACACAAGCATGGAGATGTGGCTTTCTACAGCTCATTCGCAGTTCCCCTGGCTGTGCCCTGAGCTTTGCATCACTCGCACTGACAGAGACAAGCAGTCAGTCCACTGAAGGCAGTGGAGTTGCATTGGTGCAAAATGTACCACAATCAGCTAAAGTGGGGAAATGGGGGGGGAGGGGGTGAACATGTTTAAGAGCTGGACTGAAAACTCAAATGGCAAGTCTCAGCCCGATGTTAGTGGTTTTCTATTGCAGAAAACAGGCTTCATAGTGGGAACATGACTGAGAAGTAACCTGGCCTAGAGGCTAGGGCACTGGACTGAGAATCAGGGTTCAGTTCCCAGCCTGCCACTGATCTGCTGTGTGACCGTGGGCAAGTCACTTCACCTCCGTGCCTCAGTTTCCCCTCCTACCCTATGTCTGTTGTCTGTTTAGACTGCAAGCTTTTTGGGACAAGAACTGTCTCTTACTACATATATATAAAACACCCAATCTCAGATGGGGCCCACAGGGTATGTTTAACACTGCAACACATCTGCGGCTGGCCCATGTCTGCAGATGTGAGCTTGGGCTGCAGGGCTATGAAATTGTGGTGTAGACGTCCAGGCTCAGGCTGGAGCCTGGGTTTTGGGACCCTATAAGCTGGGAGGGACCCAGAGCCTGGGCTCCAAACAGCTACCCCATAATTGTCTCGCCCCACAGTATGAGCCTCAGAAGCTCGGGGCAGCTGACATGGGCCAGCTACAGGTGTTTAATTGCAGTGCAGACATACCCTTCGATGCTATCATAATAAAAAAAAATAATAATTCAATCTAGCAGACCCTGCCACTAAAAAACAAAAAAAAAGTCATTTGTGTGAGCAGCTTTGTTCAGTCTTTAGGACTGTGCAAAGCACTTGAGAAATGTAAACTAACAGTAGCCACTTGAGGAGTTATGTCGATTTATAACTGCCGAGGATCTGGCCCATACATGTTTTCCAGAATACTGGGCTCATTCTCTACTGCAGGCTGGGAGCCTCTCACCAACAGGTCAGGCTAGGAAACATTCAGCATGTAGAGGCTGAATTGGAAACTTGTCCAAGGACCGGGATCCGGATTGTCCTCAGGTTCAGAGCCAGGGATCTAGTTCAGTCCCTTTCCTAATTAACACCCTCTGCTAGAAAGGCTAGGGGATGTGGTGCAAATAATAGTGCCCTCTTTTCCACAACGCCTGCTGCTAGATCAACAAGGGAATGAATCCTCCTTCCCCATTTGTCACACAACAGTCAGCACCCCAAACAATGAAATGTGACTTTCGGTCAAGTCGTCTGGGAGGCCGATGCTACGGGCGCTGCGGAGAAAAGGCGGCCTTTGTTTGCACTGGAATAGGGAGAAGGAAAGGTACTCCTACCCAGGACAGCTGGCAAGCAAAAGGCACGTTACTCAGGGAGTTTTCAGCCACATCAGCAAAGAGAACATCACATGGCTTCAATTATTTTTACCCCCAGACAAAAGAAATAAAGAGAGGCCTGAGTGCTGTAACAGGAAACAGCTGTCACCAGACCCCAAAGCCAGGAGTGTAGGAGAGGCTCTCCTGTGGCCTTGGTTCCAAACTGACGCTGATCTTAGAATCTTCTTGTCAATTTCATCATAAATGGGAACCGCTGCAGGTCCCAGGGTTGGGCAGGGAACGTGTCCAAGGAAGAGCTGGCGGGCATTGTGCCGCTGCGAACACCCTCCCCTCTCTGGAAGCAGAGCGCTCAGTAACCTGAGGAGCCCTCGGCTTTCTCAGGCGCTAAGAGGTTACTCCAGTTCATGGCTGTCGGGCTCTCTTTCCCTGATGAAGGATAATGGGGAGGAGGGGGATGGTATTGTTTAGCTTCAACGTCAACTTCTCCAAGAGAGAAAACACATGTTAGAATAATAACAGCCCATCACCGTCAGCACAATCGGAGCTGAAGTAAGATAGCTCACTTCTTATTGCTATTTATATTCTCATAGGGCCAGCAGCCACAGTCCTGGAGCAGGGCCCCACTGTGCGGTGCCATACAAACACAGAACAAAGATAGTCTCTGCTCCAAGGAGCTAGCTTTAAAAATAGATCGGGGGGTTGGTCCAGCACTAAGCACGTAGGGCTGATTTTTCACCATTTCACCTACAAAAATGTTTTTTCTCATCCATAAAACTGTCATTTACACATGCAGATTGGTCACATTATTCTTTGTGTTTATATTCAGATAGAGCCTGGAGGGCCCCAAGCAGGATCCGGTGCCCACTACGCTAGATGATGTACAAATATAGATGGGACAAGAAACAAACACGTAACTGCCCAGAAGTCCAGAGCTAGTAAATTCTAACATCAACCTACTTTCCCCCTCCCATAACTCCTTGTCACTCCCTGAGACCAGTTGCTGAAACCAACTGATATCACCTCAACCACTGCGAGCAAAAATCATTATGCAGGCTCGCGCCCACGGGCCTCGTCCAGGGCACAGCAAGCATTCTGTTTATGTTGTCAATGCAATGATTGTTCCTGCCTTTGAAAAAGCAGGCTCTGAAAAGCAAATGTAGGGCACGGTACATATCACAGATATGTCAGAGTTCTTCCTTCAGAGGACCAAATCTGCAGCTGCATGGCTCAAAGGACTCCCACTGACTTCCCTCAGAGTTCTGGGCACAAAGATGCTGCAGAGTAGGGCCTATCTTTATTAAAAGGAAAAAAGCTGTAAGGCAGGTGCAGGTTACGGAGCAGCTCTGTGCTTTGGGGAAGTCAATTTCAGGCTAGAAACGGTGATGGCAAAGAGAGGTTCTCCCTCCTGACGCAGGAAGGAGCAGCGTACCTCTTTAACGAGCGTCCCAAGACTCTCCACCAAGGTCTCCATGGCTCCTGACAGATCCTGTAAGGAGTAATTGGAGGCGATTCCTTTCTGTAACAGGAAAGAGAAATAGAAACTTGGGATCACAAAAAGAAACCAAAAGGGAAACGCAAACCCTCAGAAACATTCAGATACCAAGCAGAGAGGAGTAGGGAGGAGGGTTTAGTGGACAGGGTCTCAGGAGACCCAAGTCAATTCCCAGCTCAACCACAGATTCCCTCTGTGCAATCTTGGGAAAACTTCTTAATCTGCCCCGTGTCTCAGCTCTTCATCCATCAAGGGTGGGTAATGCTTCCCTTCCTCACAGGGCTGGAGTGAGGATAACATCCATTAGTGATTGTGAGTTGCTCAGATACCATGGTCATTAGGGCCACACAGATAGAACACAAGTTGTAAAACACCTGCTTTTATTCTGCGTGCGCCTTCAACTGAGAGGGTGCTCCATGTTCCTGATTGCCTACGGCCTAAGTGGGTGCACCAGAGGCCCCTTCCCCTCTGTGCTCCAGCCAGAATGCTGATCCCCCAAATACAAGGGTGAGAAGGTTATAAGCCCTGAGTGCACTAAAGGGGGAATGTCTGGAAAGATCAGGAGATGGCTGTGGCCCCATGAAGCCAAAGCTGGGAAGTGGGAAGCCCAAGTTATATGGCAACATAACACAGCTGCTGGTAAGAATGTTCCCCCCCAGTGTGCCTGGAGGCATCCTACCTGCTGCTACACTGCGCAGGCAGGTTTGGGCAGTTCCACTTCTTTCCCCGGACCCTGAAGGAACTCTGGCTTTAGTAGCTTTAAATGAGACCTTGGGATTTTAACATTAAACCAAGTGCATATTTTATTTTAAAGCAACCAATTTCCATAAAATAGTCAATGATCCAAAGTCTAATCCAGAGCCAATGCAAAATAAAATAGTTCCAAATGTCAAACAGTGGAAGGCGATTGCTGTCAGGAAGCCTTTATTTATATTCAGAACCAATCCTTGCTGCATCCGGAAACCACAGCAGACAATTGCATGTCAAGGTTCCTGTTTACCGTTAGTCCAAGAGTTATGTGGGGGTTGATAGTTATTTTAGTTCTGCATGCAGCAAGGAATGATTTATTAAAAATTACATCTCAAATGCAAGACATTTCACATAAGTTTCAAATGATCACTTAGATTGGGTGTTTGGGCTCACAACTTTGACAGCCTCTCTCCTTTGATCTGAAGACCATTTCCTGAGATGAGACATTTGAGGCTTATAATGACAGGTTTCAGAGTAACAGCCGTGTTAGTCTGTATTCGCAAAAAGAAAAGGAGGACTTGTGGCACCTTAGAGACTAACCAATTTATTTGAGCATGAGCTTTCTGTGTGTATATAATATCTGCTGCAGTTTCCACGGTATGCATCCGATGAAGTGAGCTATAGCTCACGAACGCTCATGCTCAAATAAATTGATTAGTCTCTAAGGTGCCACAAGTCCTCCTTTTCTTTTTGAGGCTTATAGCATGTTACAGCACTGTGACACAGTGACAAGAATCAGGGGGTAGCCGTGTTATATACTGTCACAAAAATAAAGGGAAGGGTAACCACCTTTCTGTATACAGTGCGATAAAATCCCTCCTGGCCAGAGGCAAAATCCGTTCACCTGTAAAGGGTTAAGAAGCTAAGATAACCTTGCTGGCACCTGACCAAAATGACCAATGAGGAGACAAGATACTTTAAAATCGGGAGGGGAGGGAAACAAAGGTTGTCTGTCTGTGTGATGCTTTTGCCGGAAACAGATCAGGAATGCAGACTCAGAACTTCTGTAAAGTTAGTAAGTAATCTAGCTAGAAATGTGTTAGATTTCCTTTTGTTTAATGGCTGGTAAAATACGCTGTGCTGAATGGAATGTAGATTCCTGTTTGTGTGTCTTTTTGTAACTTAAGATTTTGCCTAGAGGGATTCTCTATGTTTTGAATCTGATTACCCTGTAAGGTATTTACCATCCTGATTTTACAGAGGTGATTCTCTTAACTTTTCTTTAATTAAAATTCTTCTTTTAAGAACCTGATTGATTTTTCATTGTTCTTAAGATCCAAGGGTTTGGGTCTGTGTTCACCTGTACAAATTGGTGAGGATTTTTATCAAGCCTTCCCCAGGAAAGGGAGTGTAGGGTTTGGTGGGATATTTTGGGGGAAGATATCTCCAAGTGGGCTCTTTCCCTGTTCTTTGTTTAACACGCTTAGTGGTGGCAGCATAGGGTTCAAGGACAGGGCAAAGTTTGTACCTTGGGGAAGTTTTTAACCTAAGCTGGTAAGAATAAGCTTAGGGAGTCTTTCATGCAGGTCCCCACATCTGTACCCTAGTGTTCAGAGTGGGGAAGGAACCTTGACATATACAGACTAACACGGCTACCCCCTGATACTTGACACCATGCAAGACACTAAATTTAGCCATATGGAGTGGAAATCCATCAACCTCAACAAAAAACTTGCACAGATACAGACAGACATCATCTTCCTCTCCAAGTGCAAACAGATGGACATCATACCAAATGGACTGAAGGTAAAAAAATCCACTGCCATTGACATACAACACTGACTATGGTGAGAGACTGTGCCACACACTCTCAAAGCAACTGAGATCCATCTGAAGAAGTGGGTCTTTTGCCCACGAAAGCTTATGCCTAAATAAATCTGTTAGTCTTTTAAGGTGCCACCGGACTCCTTGTTAATCACAGGAATGGCTCTTCAATTACAAGCCCCCGTTCTTAGACACTTCTATGATCCTTTGAGCTAAGATTTCTCATGTTTGTCCTCTGCCCGGGGTGATTTTTTGGGAGAAAAGTCTGGTAAAATGTCGCTTGGCCTATTTAAGTCACGGGAGCGTGATAAAACAGCTGGCTAGATAGTGGTTCTCAACCTATTTACCACTGTGGGCTGCATATGCGGGCCTCATCCAATATTACCTGTATGGCCCTGAGGATGTCACATGGGCCGCAAGCAGCCCATAGGCCACAGGTTGAGAACCACTGGGCTAGAGCCTCCGTTGGATCAGCTGAGCACATTCACACCAGCTAAGGGTCAGGAACTTAAGGCTCAGATAACTTGAAAAACCAACCCACACACACAGCGAAGGAAGGAAAGAAAAGCAGTTCAAACTTGCCACAGATTTAATCCTTACTGGGACAAATTTGAAATATGGGTCACAAATAATGAAGTCTCAAAGGTGTGGCAACATTTTAACAATATGCCAGGGTGAGCGGTCCTACCTCCATTCACACAATGTACTTGCATGTCCCTCTGGAGCATCGCACATGGAAATAGACACATGCTCCATTTCATTATTATTTATATTAGCGAGAGGCTACAGAACACATCAGGGCCCCATTGTGCTAAGCACACGTACATAGTATGAGACAGCCCCTGCCCTGCAGGGCTCACCATCTAAACAGGCAAAACCTGGGAACAGCAAACATTATCCCCAATTTTCCAGAGGCAGAACTGAGGAGCAGGGACAGTTAGTGACTTGCCTAAAGTCACACAAAAAGGCTCTGATCAAGCAGTAATCAAACCCAGATCGCCTGAGTCCCAGTCCAATGCCCAGTCCAGTACACCACCCTGCCTCTCTTGCATAGACACAAAAGTTCATGCCATACCATGCATTTATAGGACCATGCTACAGTAACACAGATGTGAGACTGCCCCCTGAATTAACTGTACACTTTACACCCAAGGAATTCCACTGGTTTCAATGGAGTTGCTCCTGATTCACATCCGTAGAGGTGGGCAGAAATTCAGGCCCAATAAGCCAGCATTCCTCCTTACACAAGCAGACCTTTCATGGAAGTCACGGGGAGTTTTGTCTGAAGGCAGAGTTAGCTTGAGTCATCTGCACTCCCGTTCCTCCTCTGGAGTTAGCCCAGCTCACGTGAAAACGGCCACGCCATGAAAGAGCACTCCAGCTGCTGCGTCCACACTGGTGCTGAGACTTCTGAGGGCACATCCCAGAGTTCTTTGTGCTGCAGGAAGCTGAGCTGCTCTGTGAATTCTGTCTCAATGGATTGTGGGAGAACTTCTCTCCTTCTGGGCAGATGGGGAGGACTGTAGGAAGGCATCAGAGAAACAGCAGCACTCGAGTGGAGCCAACGGCAGCAGAGCGGTTGTGTTAGCAGCTGACCAGTCGCTCAGTTGAGCCTTAGCCTATACCCCTCGCAGGCCAGTCGACTAGGATTAATAGCACCCCTGCACTTCAGTGAAGGGTATGTGTGGATAGAACTCGAGGTAGGGGCAACTCTCAAGCTAACTTTGCTGTGACAACAAGCCTGAGTAAGAGATGTCATGTGCTTCTGACACGAGAATGGACAATTCACAGGCTGAATTGTGAGATTTTAAAAAATGATTTCTGCACAATATGCAATCAAATATGTCAGCATTTTTTCAAGGGGCACAATGTTTGCATATCTGTCGCCTTGCCCTGCCACAGGATACTTCAGTGGTTGCTTCTGGTAAGTAAATATGGCATCTGAGTCATATTTACTTTGCAATGGGAAACAATGTTTGTCATAAACACTATTTCAACCAGGAAGTGGTAGACAAATCACGCATTTGGAAGTTCTGTTATTATTTCCTAACAGGAGTCCTGCCCTATTGTTTAAGGGAAGGATGATCTCATGCGGCTTCATCCCAAAAAAAGGACACAGCAAGTCGGAGGTTCAAATGACGCTTGTATTTATATTAAAGAAAACCTTCTTTTCATAGGCAACGTTGTGCGCTGTGTTAAAGTCATTGGAATGTATGTATTATTCAGTGTTCTGTTTGGGCCAGAGCAATGACAAAATGCCACCCATGTCATTCAGAGAGACCAACACAATTGCTTTTTGTAGCCCTCACAGCTCCCTCATGGCCTCGTGCAACATGTGAATCACGGCACAGCTACAGCTCACTGCCAAACCTGGAGACATTTTCTGGGATGCCCCAGTGCTGCAGAGCTAAAACCCTTTACTTAACACACATACAAATTGCCTCTCCATGCTGAATATCAGAACTGGGAAGATCTACACAGAGCAAAGTTCTTCCCTACGTAGGAAGGCC